CAGAAAAATAGTATTCAGGGTGAGCTCCGACCTCATGATTGTTGAAGTGAATTTTTTTTTAAGATCGAACCAATGCATCAACCATTCTCATTTTAGTACCATCTATCTATAACTAGATTCCCAAACTATCTTAAGATCCCAATGATAGATTGGTGCAAATCCATTGACAAAGTTAGTTATCCGGGCTCTATCCATAGGTCACAAAATTTTACAAAGATTCAAGGTGGTTAGAAGTATTTATCTTCTAAATCCAATAAATGATGGAAGTAGATTGTAGACTTGATTCACAAATAACTTCGATTGTCAAATCTTATTTGTCATTTCGAAGAGAATCCTCCCCTCCCCCACTACTCGTAGTGAGCTCCGACCTCGTGATTGTGAAGTGAGACTTTTTTAAGATGGAACTAATACATCAACCATTTACATTGCGCCCTTGACGTTAATTACCTCTAACACACCCTCTCGACATCACATTCGAAACACTACATTTTAGTGTTATCCTGGTTGAGTCCCAAAATTGTATTCACCCGTTCATTGCTTATATTAACAATATGCCTCGTTGGAAAAAAAAATTACATTACTATAATAATGGTAATTAACAACAATGAGTCAATGGTAAATCACCATCAATTGTGGTTAGCCACTGTGAAGGCTATCCATCAAATAGTGTTTACATTCATAAGGAGACAGATAACCTCCACATTAATTAGTTTTAGAGTGGGAAAACACACAAAAAAAGCAACTACTAGGCATGAATTTGCATATTAATAAATATTTATTTTGATTAATAACCATGGTTATTAAAATAAAGCTAGATAAAATAATAAGTTTTCAACATAAAAAATGGTTCAAATTTGTGTATCTGAAAAACAAATTAAAGTAATCGTTTTTCGCATGGCCAAAAACGTTCGAAGAGAAGAATGAAGACTAAGGATGTATAGTGTTGGGCATGTTCATTTGCTTTAATAAATTTCCTTTGTTTTTAAGGGAATTTTTTAATAGTTCCTTTCCTTTTAAATATTAATGAAATGAAAGCTTTATGGCAAAACCCAAAATTGTATTTTTCTTACTCAAAAAATATTTTTATTAGGAAGCCAATTAGCACTCACCACATCTAATATCACGAATTGTGACTAAGAATTTGCAAAAAATAAATTGATATCCTGAATCATAGTAAAGGCACTTATCATGCAATTATCTTCTCCAGTGTTGCGATAAGATAGACGCCTATAAATCCTTGTGATTGAGTTAATCGGTAATTCGATTAAAAGATAACGTTAGTTAGTCTCTGTAAAACTCCTGGTTGTATGATAAGTATGTACTTATGGATGTATCGTATTTTGAGTACCATTTTAAATAAGTAAGCACATTTGGGAGGCATAAAAGAAAAGGAGAAAAAAAAAAAGAATGAAAATGGTTACTAATTGAATTCATTAGCTGTTTTTGTAAAACTGTAGTGAAGTAATTAAACTTTCCATATAGCTTCAATCGAAGAAAAGTTCTTGCTCTTTAAGTAATTTAATTAATACTATTTCCAAAATTTTGTTTGGACAAACTGGAATGTAAATCCTCGGTACTTAAATTTCCATTAAATATATACCGATTATGTTTTATAATTATCATATATTTCATATCTAATACCATAAACTTCTTGTATATTCAAATTTTGAAACCAATTATATATATGGAAAATGAATCTTTTTTACATTCTACCTGGCAGGATTACCACAACAATGAACCCTAGCTAGGGTCTCTTACATTTATATATACATACTATAGTTCTATTATATACCTTAACTTTATTCTACTATTCCAAATTGGTATGTTTGAATCGCACTTTTTTATGTCACTAGCACAAAGCCCGGCCTATTGGCCGGGGAGTTGAAAGCTATATAATTTGTATGCATCGTTCAAATTCACCATGTGGGTTTTGTTTGTGTATTTACTCATGAAACTATTTAGGAAAATACTCACACTACACTACAAATATGCTTAGAACGTATTGAAAACATGAGAAAGACGTACAATATGACTGACAAAGAAATGCAACTTACAGTGACATATATGTTTACAAACAAAGTCGCTTATATACAAAGTCTATAAATGACAACATAAGAGTTGTTTCCTTTGATACATACATAATCAATCTTCACTATAGATCTTTGATGGATTTCAATATATCCACGAAATAGTTTTCTAATTTATCTTCCTTGTTGATCATGGCACAATTTGTGCATTGAAATTATTTGATTTGAATGGGTGAGAGCATGTCGGAGATCTGTCAAAAGTACGTTACTAGAAAATGCAATGCTTTCGATTTGGCGTTCAAGCGGTATATTTTAAATAAGATAAGCAACAATGTAGTGAGTCCCTGCAATTTTCACCATCATGTTAATCATAATTATCAAAAGGGCCAACTCAAATATAGGATATGTTTTAAAGTAAAGATACATTTAAAATATGAACAATATATCATATATATGGGATAATTTCTCACTATTTCAATGGAAATGAATGAAATTAATTTACCTCTTTAGTCAAACAAATATGTCTCAATTGTTTTCATATACGTTTCCTCTAACGTTTGCATTTATTGCTCAAAATCTAAGTTTAGGATGAATATTTGAGATGATAGTGAACATATAACTAATTTTATTACGTACACTCTATATGTTGAACAACATCAACAAAAAGGTTCAGAACGGGGTGCAATTGTTGACAATTTTGTTTTGTAAAACTATACAGTTACGACTTAACTCTTCAGCAGCAAAGAGACCTGACCAGATGATGAATTGTAGAGAGGTCGGAGATGCAAATAGTGCATTCAAAACTGGAGAATAGCTTCAAAGCTGAACCCGAGTTGCACTTGCAAGCAACTTTTGGAAAATCTAGTTCTTGAGGATTTCGAAGAGCTTAAATAAATTACTATTTGAAGCATTCTACTCAATGTTAACTCTTACCACAAAATTAAACAAACTAAAATTACCTAATATGGCCACTAAATCAATTCCTAACTTCCTACTTATATTTATATGTATAACTCTATCTCATTTAACTAATCGGTTGTCACGTATATCAAAGTTACCATTTGAGTTAATTTGTATGAACTCATATGGCAACTAACAACAATATAGCCACCACCATATTTACTTGGTATCACAACTACTTAAGTGTGTCCTACCAATTCCATGTCCCAAATTAGCAAACACTTTAACCAACCTAACTATAACCAAGTTTTGATGTAAAGTTCATTAGCAATAACTAACATCAACGATCATGCAGCTTTCAATTGATAAATAAGTTCATAAAGAAACCCCAAAGCAATCACCATAAACATATTCATCAAAGCTAACCTCAAATTAAGTTCAAACGTTTAAGGACTAAACTACCAATCATATAGTTTTTTTTTTTAACTTGAATAAATAAACTACTCACACTACTAATAACCCATCTTCTTATCTTATTGGTCATTTCAAAGATAATTTTTTATCATGTTGTTGCATGAGAAGGAGCAGTATCAATTTAATAATTCTTGTAAGCGATGAATTGATTAAAAATTAAGAATTCTATATCGCTTTTACATATCTAATACTGCATTATTATATGCCATTTATATTTGGGTTACAATTTTAAGATTATTTTTCATTTATAAGATAGAAAAATTAAATTAATTATTCTAATTAAATTAAAATAATCAAAATATGAAAATAAAAATTAAAGACCAAAGAAATAATTAAAGGAGACTTAGTGGTGTAGCTAACCATGGTGGGAAACCCTTCTGATTTTCATATTTTTGCTTCATGTATGTTCTTAGTTTAGAAAGATACAACAAATTTATTTAGGGAAATTGACTATAATTTTTGTTTTTGTCTAAAGGGATCCTGATTCAAATCTCAACACTGATTTATTTTTATAATAAAAACTAAATAAATGTAGTGACAAATGTACCTTTTTCTATTTTCGCTCTCGATGTAGAAAATTTAAAATGAAAAAAAAGATGTTTGAATCTCAATATATACTCATAACCATAAAATCATATGGTTAAATTGTACAAAAACTGCATTTTGTACGCATACCCGTTATTCCCAAGTTCCCATTATTATTATTATTATTATTATTATTTTTTTTTTGACAAAGACATTTCTCATTAACTTATACATTTTGAATCCCCTCACGGTTGCATATTTATTAAATATTATGAGATGGTTTTTATGGTTAGAGGCCCAAGGATAGGCCCATTTAAGTCCAAATTGTGGAGAGTAAATTAGAGCCGGATGGTTGCGTGAAACGAAACGCACAACATGCTTTAGCTGTAGGGGGGAATGTCCTCAATGCCCTTCCGTAAAATCCTCTATGGCCAGCAATTTCAAAATGCTGAAAACTTGACACATGAATCTCTATTATATATCTTGTAGATTTTTCGATAACGAAATAGTATCTATTGTTGTGTTCACCATAAAAAATAAAAAGAATACTCTCATCGTTAATCTAAACAAATATTCTCCTATAATTGCGAGTTAGATGTTTGGTTATGAAATTTCGGTTGAGTTGTTATTATTATAATTTTTGCTTTTAGTTTACTTTCGTTTTTGTATATCATTTTCATACTATTATTTTGTATGATAAAATCGATCATATCACACTTTCACGAATGGACAACGATCAATGTCTAAAATGAATGGACGTTTGAGATTCCTCCAAACAAGATCATGATCGAAGGAAAGTCAGTTGTGAGGTATGAGTTATGACGTTATGTACATGTAACTCACAAAATCATTTTTGACAAACAAGGCGCGAGAATGTTTTTTACTTATAAAAGAGCGCAAAAATTAAAACTAAAAAGTCAGCAAAACAATCTGATTTCTTAATTAACAAAATCGGTTATTAAGTTAATTACTGGAGGAGAGAGAAACAAATATTTTTTTTACTGTTTAATTGTTTTAATTACCTTGCCTTATTATTAATTATAAAAAGGGGAAAAAAGAGGATCTCCATTATCGAGTTAAACAAATCCAGAGAAAGAAGAAGAAGAAGAAGAGAGAGACGCGAGTGTGGAGCGCTGCTCTGTTTTCTTTTTTTTGTTTGTGTTCTAAGAAAACCGGAAACAGAAAAGAAAGCTAAAGACAAATACAGAGTGTAGAGAGAGAGAGGGGAGAGGGGATTTGAGCTTTTTGCTGTTCTGTTGGAGTTGAAAACCTTCGTGGCGTTTTGGGTTTTCTTTTTTTCCAATTTTCTTTCACTCTGCTTTTGTTCACCATTCGCCATTATTGAGCTCCAATCCTTTTCCATCTGGGTTTTGGTTTCAGCTTTCATTTTACCCTTCAGGAGTTCGCCGTAATTTGGAGCTTCTAGTCGGAAAGTTTGCTCCTTTTCTTCGTCGGGGGTGTGTTATCTCTGTTTCTTTTGTTTGTTTGGGAATTTGCTCTGTTTTTTCCCCTTCTCCTTTTCCCCATTCGTAATGAAGGTGGAGGACGTAAGCGCCGGCGGAGGCAGCTCTGCTACTTTCGGCCGTGAGTTTTTCCCGTCCGGGTTGCGGGTTCTGGCCGTCGACGACGACCCGGTTTGTCTCCGGCTTATCGGACATCTCCTTCGTAGATGCCAGTATCAAGGTTACAATCCAATTTCTCCAACCCATCTCTGTTATTTCTCTTTGACAGAATACTCTGGATTTGCTCATTAGAATTTCATACCACTTCCAAATTTCTGTCAATCTGTTAATGGCGGCCTGTTTTTCCCAAACCCTCTGCAATTACACAAAATTTCACGAATCTGTTATCTTTCTTTGGCAGTCACGGTGACGAATCATGCGCTGGAAGCTCTTAAAATGCTGAGGGAGAAGAGAAACGAGTTTGACTTGGTGATTAGCGACGTGAACATGCCAGACATGGACGGGTTCAAGCTGCTGGAGCATGTCGAATTCGAAATGGACATTCCAGTAATCAGTAAGCAAGCTCTCCCCTGAAAAAGTTTCCCCCTTTCTCACGTCACAATTTCGAATTCACCCTAATTGCGATTTCAATTGTTGGATCTCTACTAGTGCTGTCTGCTCACAGTGACAAGGAGCTGGTCTACAAGGGTGTGACTCACGGTGCTGTGGACTACCTGCTGAAGCCGGTTCGAATCGAGGAGCTGAAGAACATATGGCAGCATGTGGTGAGGAAGAAGAAAACGGGAGGGAAGAGGACCGATTCGTCGAGCTTGACTAATAAGGTTGAGAGAGATGGCAATGGGGTTGTTGTTGGTGGTGTCGGATCGAGTGAGAGCTCCGACGCGAATGGGAGATCAAGCAGGAAGAGGAAAGATCAGGATGATGAGGATGGGGAGGAAGAAGATGAGGATAGTGATGGAGGAGGGGAGAATGAGGAAGGAGGGAACCAGAAGAAGGCTAGGGTTGTGTGGTCTGTTGATCTGCATAAGAAGTTTGTTCATGCTGTTAATCAGCTGGGATATGACAGTAAGAGTCTCAAATGTTTGATGTTGAAGTCTCTTGTTTTTAGAATTCATGGAATGTTATGGTTTCTGAAAAGTTCAGGGTTTGATTGATTTGTCGTTGCAATTCTTTTTTTGTGCAGAGGCTGTTCCTAAGAAGATTCTTGATCTGATGAATGTTGATGGACTCACAAGGGAGAATGTAGCTAGTCATCTTCAGGTAATCAAATCTTTTCATGTCATCCTAGATGTAATTACTAATTAGAATGTCAAATTTCGACCTGACCCATTTGACCATAAGTCAATTTGTTTGCGTATTACTTGATTACCGTAAGATGATTGTGCTTTATGGTAACTTGTTCTGTCTCGTTCTACTCTCGTTCTATTTATTTTGCTATTTTCATCATACCTTTTTATTTGGATCCATTAAATAGACATTCTATTTCTTTTCATTTATTAATTTAGAAAATGTTTGTACTCTGAATTTTCATGTTAGAGTGGAATGGTAGTCACTTGTCAGGAATACTATAGAATTTTTGTTGATATATTTAAGCAACACTGCAAGTTTGTTCCTGATATGAAGTTCTTGGTACAGAAATACAGGCTCTACCTGAGAAGAATGAGCTGTGATAAAGCCATGGGCATCCCATATGGATCTAAAGATGGCTCCTCCTACCCCGGCATAGCCTCATCGATCGATGGATTCGACGAATTTCGAAGCTTGACAACACCGGGAAGGCTCTCAACATACCAACCAGGAGGCTTGCTTGGCCGACTGAACTCTTCATCTGGTCTAACCTTGAGAGGAATCGCCTCATCTGGCTTGCTCCAACCAACCAATTCCCAAGCTTTGCTGAATTCTTCCATCACTACTCTTGGTCAACAAGTTCAGCAGCCATCACTTCTCTCCACTGCCCAAACTCCAGGCCGATTTTCGCTTTCTCAATGCAAGCCAAATTTTGTACTTGTTCCCAGCATAGGAGGAGTCACCAGTACTTCTGGAAACTCTATGCTGCTACCCAATAGTCATCACACTAGGGGAACATTTGGAGCTCAGCCAGCTGCCCTTAGTATGCCCTCGTTGAATCGGGATTCTTTCGATGTTGGGATCCAACATGGACCGTTGTCTCCCAACTTGTTGGACAGCAGCAGATGTAATGGAAGCTGGGAAAACGCAATCCAGCTACCAAAATTTCCATCCAATCCATTAGGTGAACAGTTTGGTCATGAGCCCTCATTGCCTGTGAGGGATTGTGTGCCTTCTTCCAGCTCTCAGATTGCGAATATCGATTTCAGTTCTGCTAGCCTTGGACCTCCACCTGCTGCTGCTGAAATGACAGGTCAAGTTGGGCTCATTGGCAATGCGATTGAGGGCTTTAGCAATCCTGGCTTGACCAACTCATTTGGTGGTATGAACTCCATGGATTCATTAGATCAGGTGTCATTTGATCATGGTATGGATCAAGGGAGAAGCTTTGATGGTTCTTCTTCTGCCGCTGGGCAATTGAGTGATGGTGTTTCACCTTCTGGGTTTGAAGTTGACAAATCACAGAATGGATTCATTGTGGATAGTAGTAGCTTTGATCCTCTTGATGATATGGTGGCTGCAATGCTCAAAAGGGTAACTAATTCTTCTTCTGCTTCTTCTTTTTCTTTGCTTGCTTCCTTGGTAGCTGATAATGCTATTTCTTTCCACACTTTTTGCTGACTACTTGAGTTAATTTTTCTTTGCAGGAGCAGAATGAAGGTCTGATCATCGACGGAGACTTTGGATTGGACGCGTACCAGATCGGATCATGCATCTGAGCCTTGGTCATGGAGCATAAAAGGGCCTTTTTAGGGGTTTCACTAGGGGACTTAACTGTATCATCATGGGTCTTAGTAATTTCTAGACTTATTTTTTAGGTTATGTTCCTTTTGCTCTCTGCAACTTTGGTTCCTGTTTAGTGGTACTGTTCAGGTGACTGGAGAGCAAAGTTAATTTCTCTCAGTTGGCAACTTGGGTTTTAAGTTAGGAGCTTTTTAGGGTTAATCGCAGATGATTTAGTTTCTCCATGTTCATAAGATTTGGAAAATAATGGAAATGGCATTATGTTTTCAATAATGTGCTTTCTGGGTTCCTACAGTTTTACTGCTAAGAATTTTATGCCATGGTAATTTTTCAAGAATCTTTGTTGAGATTACATACCCCGGCGGAGGAGTTACCACGAGCAAATTGGATAAGGTGAATTTTTCTTTACCATTCATGAGTGAGTGAATAAATTTGAATTTAACGTCTTCAGTGAGTATCACTATCAAACAAACTTACTTGGGCAAGTTTTTCCTAAATATGATCATCAGGCTACTTGATCTATGAACATGGTAATAAATAATAATCCTACAGAAAGCTTTCAAGTTCCTTCAACCTGCCTTTGATGTTAACAACAGAAACTATATATCAACAAAAGAATCTCAATATTAAGCAGTTGCACTCTCTGTCAAGTTAAAAAAAGGGCCTCAAATATTCATCAATGTATCTCAACAAGTCATTGAATCAATCAAACATAAAAAGAATTCATATAAAGCTCCTAACTCGACCTGTTAGACACCAAACATTGAAAGAGAAGAATTTCTTTTCTTCAATCAAGCTCAATTAGCTGAGCTCTTCTCTCTGCAGCCCTCTTCCTAACAAAGATCCCCCACCTCAACGCAGCCTTAAGCTTCAGCCACCCAACAACCGCTTTCCCGGAACTTCTTCCACGATCCTGGGAGGCATAAACTTGATCCATCTGAGGCTCATACCCTCCTCCACCTCCTTGAATGTTGTAAGAATAACCACCGTCACCAGGTCCGCCAAAGCCTGTCCCTCCACTAAATCCACCACCCATCCCCATGCCGAATGATCTCAACAGCCTCTGCATATCATCTCCTTCCAACATCTCCAAGCTTCTCATCCTTATTTCCTCTGCGAAAAAGTCTCCTCCTGAATGGTACCCAGGTGTTCCCACTGACATGAAGTCCATGCTGCTGCTGGTCAATGCTGCAGCCTGCTGTTGTTGATGATGACTACTGCTGTTCATAGGGGCAATGGTAGCTGAAGTAGCTTGATGGTGATGATCTGGCCTTACGAATGGGAAGTCGATCAGCTGAGATGGATGTGGCGGGTCTGGGGAGATGTAGAGTTGCTTGTTTTGATTGCTTGATACAAAATGTTGTTGCGCGTCGTAGTTAGTCGTGGCAACCGGTGGAGGAGGCAAGGCTTTCTTTGGTGGCTTGTTGGCTGCCAGAGCAGTGAGGACCTTGCCATCGTATTCTATGACTTGATGCCAGTTCTCATAGGCTCTCTTAACTATAGAATCCACTGAAAGCTGTAAAGATCGATGGATAAAACTAGTTTAGATATCAACATTGTTCACAGTCGTTGGTATGTTTCTGAATATTTCTTAAGATCTCTGACCTTTTGATTGTGGTCAAGTGATTCAAGGGCGACAAACTGTCCTTCGGATATAAGGCCTCGTAGCTCACATATATGGTTGAACACAACTCCAGTGCTATGAGCTCCATCGGTGTAGTAAACATAAAGCTTTCCTCCTAAGACACAGGTCTTGGCATGCTCCACTGTGTTCTCCCACATTCTATTCGACATTCCACTTCCAAGAATCTGCAATCGTGATTTACTGTCAGAGACATGGAACAGACAAAGGAGAAGAAAAAAAAAATGTTGAATTGAAGAGGAAAGATCATTACGCTTCTCAGTTTCTGAGGATCCCTAACGAGTATCCGGAGGAAATCTTCAACTGTCTCAATCTGGGACTTCACCAATTTCTTATGCAGCGCTCCATCTTTCGCTATTCTATCCAATCTCCAAACTTCGTCATGTAAAGCTGGTGGGTAGTGTTTCTTGTACACTGTCATCAATCAAACAACTTTCTTCAGTCTCAAGCAAACATCAATGACTACTAAGAGAAGAACTTTTCAATCAATTGCAGTAAAAACTCACATTCTCCTCTGTGATCCTTAACAGCAAAAGATTCGGTCTTGGCCTCACGAACACGAACTCCATCACAATGTCCACTAGCAACTTTCACACCAAGCCGGAACTTCCTGCTCCTTATCCAGCTCGAGTTATCAGTAAAACTGAGATCTCCCAGAGTTCCTACGCCTTCCTTGAGGACCAACTGCAGCTCGCCTGTCAATAATGGTCTCTTCCCTTCACGTTCCTTGACCTCGTAGTTCTCAAAGTGTTCTGACGTCCAGTCTTCCTCAGTTTCCTCATTGAAGTCGCCCTCAAGAACCACGACATTCAATTTGGCTGCTGATTCTGGTCCATTGTGGACAACACTGCCTGTGGATGAGTCTATCAGGACAACATGGATGGCTGCTCCTTGTTCTCCCTCGATTCTCGCGCCAGTGAAGAGATGAGGTGGCATCCGTGTCCGGAAATGAAGTTGTAGGTTCTTGCCTCCTGGACCAGTTAATTTTGGTGGTGGCGACCTGTACCGGGAGAAATCTTGATCCATCATAAATCATGGCAATGCAGATATAACTTATCAGAAGGTTCAGTACTTGAATAGGAACAAAAAGTATTAAGTTCCATACCTTCCTGGTAATGTAGCATTTCCCATCCTTGAAAGAGCACGTTCAACTTCTTCACTGACCTGTTCATTCAATTTTCCAAGACTAAATATAAACAAAGGTACACATTTGATGAAAGTGATACAAGAGATCATCGATCGAATCAGAGCCTAGAGATTTGGGCTTACAATTCTACGGAAGAGAGGCTCGAGTGATGAGCATAGTCTTTGTAGACTATCGACCTTCAAAGCTTCCACAATCACACTGCATAATACGTGCAATGATCAGCACACTTGACTGTAAAATCCAGGATCAACTGAAGATAAGTACTACAAGAAAACCTTTAGTTCCCCCTTTCTGGTTTCAGTTCTGAGTGGATTATTCCTAGATTCTGAATAGCACTTTCCCCAGACCTCTAAACTCTCCACCTCACCAGAATTCCCCATCAGATCCACAAAACTAAAGGCTCAATCATGTACCCATGATCAGTCAACCTTCAGAGCTTTCGAAATCACATTGCTTACATGGTGGATAAAGCATTTCATTTGCAGATGATCAGCAAAATTGACACTGAACTTCTGTGCACTTCCCAATCCAAACTAAGCAACACCAGACTATGGTGTCTGTAGCCTCAATTTTCAACTCTAAAAGCTTCATCCCACATGGTCCATACACTAACCAAGCCATCTGAAATTCTAGTAGCCCACTTTCCACTAACCTCTTAACTCCTTTAGTATCCTCAAACATTTGGGCATCAGATCCACACACTAACAATCCGAACTAGAATCAAATCCATAAAGACTATCAGATTCTCCAAACAACAGATCCAGAACTCAACCAGGAAGCTACCCAAATCCACACTACGTCTAGAAACCAATCATTTCCCCTCTTTCAAGCCAAAAAACAAACACCTGGCCTACAAAATCCAGCTCAAAACCATAGTCCAAAAATCAACTAATAAAAAAAAAAACCAGCAATTAACTTACCTTGCTAAAGCAGGCATTTTGGGCTTCTTCGAATCAGGCAAGTGATCACTCTCATCTTCAACACTCTGCTCATAACCTCTCTTCTCCACCCTCCTCCCTCTCGAGCCATCCATTTCTCACCACAGTTCTCTCAAATCCCCCCAAATCTAGCGCCTAAATTTTTACACACAACCCAGGAAAGAAACTTCCACGGAGAATCAGAAAGTTCAGAGCTTTCTCAAACCTCAGACGAGACCCATAAATTATAAATTGAAAAAAAAAAAAAACACAAAAGCTGCTATATTAAGGGGATCAGGGTAGTGAAGGTGGAAGGAAGAAATTTGGATGACGATGTGTTTTATGCAAAAAGCTTCTTGCTTTCTTCTTGGATTAGATCCTAAAGGGGAGAGGGGGCGACAACACCAATTGACTGATTCTATATAAGTTTTCTTGTGTTGGCTTACGATCTGAAATATTGTATAATAATGATAAAGGATTTGGATTGGTACATAGAGAATCATATATTATATTTTAGTTACTGTATGCCAAATTTAATTAAAAAATTATGACCCAGGGAGCAGACATTAACAGCTGTGGGTCTGATGGAGGGAAAAGTCTTTGAAACCGCGTTTTTTTAATTTAATTTCTTGTGGGGAAGAAGGCATGTGGTAATTGACTGATTTTCAGGGCAATTAAACTGATGGAGTTTGGAGAGAAAGAAAGTCAAATTGGTGGTTGTGGTCTGTGGTCATGGTCATTTTGGGGGGTTGAATCTTGGAAGACTCTCCAAAGTGGAAGAATTTTGAGTCAATTGCACGTTTTTTAGGTCTTGATTATTAGGGTTTCCTTTGGGGATTTGTGATGGCTCAAATCATGAGAGTATGTGTTATACAAATGAGATAGAGATTTTCTTAAAACTATGTTCTAACTAAGTTATAATTATTATTGGAAATGAACGAAGTATTACGGTAAGGAAATTTTTTTTTTGATTGATTGGAGGCGCAAGCCAAGAAAAAGAAGAAAGGGGTTACAGGTGAGTCTGGGGAGTTTGGACAACACTCCGAGGTAAAACAACACCTCTCTCGTCGTCCTGCAATATGGGTCTCAAGGGGGCCGGCGGGTCAACCAGTTCATACATACCATGGGGATAGACGAGACCGTGCTTCGAGAGCCAGTCCGCAACTCTATTCCCTTCACGGTAAGTATGAACTATGTTGACCAACCAATCCTGCGCCACCAACCTGCGAATAGATCTCAGAAGAGAGGCCAAAGGGTGGACATGATCCACTCGATGCTGAATCAAATCAATAGCTAGCCGGGAATCGGACTCAACAATTAGAAGTCTGAGATCTCTCCTCCAAGCCATCTCGAGTCCTTGCTTGATTGCCCACAACTCGGCGCAGGCCGCCGAGCAGTCCCCAATGGAATAGCAGAAACCACCCAACCACCGCCGTTGATCATCTCTGAAGACTCCTCCTGCTGCGGCTTTCCCAGGGTTCCCTTGGGAGGCCCCGTCAACGTTAAGCTTACACCAGCCTCTAGGTGGCGCCACCCATCCTATATCGGTCACGACACGATTCGACTTAAAACTTCCTCGAAGCAACAAAGGAGAGGGAGCCATCCATGCCGAATGCCAGATGTGAACCTTGAGATGGATAGCATGCCGCAAAGAAGGGGGAGAAAGTAACTTATTACCACCACTGAAAGCGCCCTCGTTCCTGTTCTTCCAAATCGTCCACAGGGCAATGCTGAAGCTTGATGCCCACGGGACTCTCGCCTCCGTGTTGAGAATGTTCGTGCTAACCCAGTGATCGAGGTCTGCTGACAGAAAATCTACCAAACTGTTTGCCGGCACCTCTCGTGTCCAGAAGAAGAGGGAAGTAGGACAGTCCCTCAGAATGTGTAGCTTAGTCTCCGGCACGTTATTGCAGTTTGGGCAGAACGGATCAGGAGCAATGTGTCTGTCAAACCGTCTTTTGTTGGTATTGATGCGATGAAGCAGAACCAACCAGATGAAATGTCTAACGCGCTCTGGGACTTGAAGATTCCACACCGCTTTCCACACCTTCTGGTATGTAGGCTGGGGTGCAGGAAAAGCAATCTGGTAAGCTGACTTTGCCGTGAAATCCCCGGTAGAGGTGGGCTGCCAACAGAGTCTATCCTCCTCCGCAGAGATTATATCCGTAGCAATTGCTGTGACCTTGTCCATGGCATAAGAAGGCAACCATTGTTGGAGAAGATCCACGCGCCACTGACCTATCTCACTAATGTAAGCTGCTACTGGTTTGTGAACCTCATCCTCCGGGATTGGCACCACTGTGATTTCCTTCAAGGGTACCTGCATAGCCCAAATGTCAGTCCAAAACTTAGTGTTCTTTCCATTCGAAATGTTCCAAGCGCATCCTTTCCTCAGAATAGGAGTAGCTTTGGAAATGCTTTTCCAAGTAAAGGAACTTCCCTGATTGGCTTCGAGGAGAGAAATTCTATTATGATCCTGTTGAATTAATGTTGAATAACAATCACTTTGTGATAGATACGAGGAGAGTTTGGGTAATAAGAAACAATTTAAATCAGTGAGGCGCGACTTACCGTTTATAACATAAGGCTTTTCTATATCTTAACCTCCAACATTTAATTAGATTTTTACATACATGGGTTTTCAAGAAATTTCAAGTAACTAAATGTATTGGATGAAATAAACGTATATGCAAAAAATTGAAATGAAATGAATCTACCAAAAAAAAAAAAAGAGAATTTGTTAATTTCAAAATGAAATGAATCAACCATTCGAATTCTCTAAAATGTCTCGACTAACTTTTCTCAGTAATTCTTTCCCTGACTCTACTTTCTCGGGTATCTATCTATTCATAGTTAGTAACATACGGTACGGGAAAATTATGTATAAAATACATATAGATATTTTACTTAGTCTCTAATCTAATGTTACGTATATAATATGTTAATATTCATAAATATATAAATATAATTATTTTAACAATAAATAAATTTATAAATAATATTAAAATTAATAATTTAATTCATTATATACTGATATTAAATGCGTTATACGAGTTGTATACGTGTTTAGTACGAGAGCCATCAAATGAACGGGGGAAAATGAAACGGCTTAACAATAATACGGATACAGAAGTTTTAAACAGATAAAATGCGTACGTGTACATATACTTGTATTAAACAGAGTATTTACCACCTTCTTCCTTCTTACCCTAGTTAATAACGTCCCTCAATAGTTAGAGGAGTGATTTGAATTATTCACCCATCTGTCAGCATCTTATCATCAAGGATTAGCATTAATCATGGGTATTATCAATCTGCAGGAGAATCTTATCAATGATATACACTTCACATGTGTCCTAAGCAGCTACAATATATATAATATATCAAACCATACAAGTTACTGGATTGGCTCGGCCATGGTTGGTAAAAATCTAAGGCAAAGGACAGAGTTTCTCAGTTAGAGAGAGTCCAATTTTGGAGAGGTTGAGAGGCTGCAGACTTATTGCCTGTCCCATCCTTGAGCTGTTCTAAATATGCAGCTTGTCAGCTAATGGAGGCATAATTGGGATCGGCAGTCTACCATTTTACCTGTGTTGGCTTTCTAAGCACATGCCACAAAGAGATTAAATTGGCCTTTTAAGTGACAGAAAAGACACCATTGCAAAGTTAATAGTCTAGTTATCAAATCTAACCGTTTGATTAAGTACAATGGTAAAGTTCATCACCGCTAAGGTCTAGAACTGAGAGTAAATGCAGCATTGCCAGGATTTGCTTCCAGGAATCATTAGTTAACTCAATAAGCTAAAGAGACTCTTTTACACAACAATCCAAGGTGTTGACATAGTAATAGACTAATAGCAGTCAAGTTTAGACCAATTTCTGTCAGCCAAAGGGAAAGGAATGTTTGCAATTGTACATCAATCTTATACCACTTTTGGTAGCAGCCAAGTCAGAACTATTTGGTCTTCCAGTCATCTTGTTGGGGTTTGCCTACATCCGCAGAACTCTTCCTTCCAATCATTACCATCGAAAAGTCAAGCAGCCAGCAAGGACAGGTAGACCGAATTCCTCTGACGGCAAGCCATGTTTGTGATTCAAAGAAGAGAATGATCACAAAATCAAGAAGAGTTGAGCTTCCCCAGCTTAGCCTTGGCCGAATCAAGTAGTTCTGCAGCAAACATTCACACGATTTGACAGCAAGATGAGGTCTTTATTGGAAGGGAAGTATTCAAGTAAGAAGAGAAGACTGAATGAATAGAGAAAAGAAACAGTCTGTTTTACTTTGCTCTGATGCTGTTGCTTTCTGAATGGTGGTACGGAAAAAAAGGTTCCCAGTTTTCTGGTAGACAGGCTGTGCCAACAAAAAAAAAAAAAAAATCAAAAGCTACGCTATAAAGCATCTATAAATAACCAACAAACCAAGCTTCAAATGGAACAAGCTATAACGAAATCATAATCAGCATATTCAATATAATATGGTATTAGATTAGATTCATATAGCTTCTGCAGATGTACATAATCAGCATATTCAATATAATATGGTATTAGATTAGATTCGTATAGCTTCTGCAGATGTATACATGATGCAGCCTGTGTGCTAAACATGGTGAAACCATCTTCCCTCTAGGTCAGTGAACTTGATGCAGAAAACATGGCAAAACAGATGTAAAGCATTCCCTAAAAGAAAGCTGGACTTTAGGTTGATGAAAAACTATGTCAAGCTGTCATAGAGTTCGCAGACACAAAACACAACACCATCAATCGATGTTAAGAACAATCTCCGAACATCTTCTACCGCAACGTGATGCTTTCGCTTGCTATTCACCATGAAATCTATCAGGGTTTAGGGACATCCAACGAATTTCAAGACCGATAACCCTCAAGCATCATAAACCCACTCAAAAGAAGGGAACCCCGAAGACCCAGTGAGCATCAAGATGAAACCTTTTGCCATTGTAACAACTTCCATGCCTTACACAACGAATTTGAAGAACAATCCATAGCAAACCCAGATGGGATTCAATCTCGTAAAATGCTAGTTCAGAATTGGAAGTTCCCCCCTCCCAAAGGAGCAAACTTCAGGAGCTAGTTACAATGAAAACTGAGCCGGAAAACACTACGAAAGTGAAATAAATAGTGGGAAAGTAGAGCTTACTCGAGAGGCAGGAAGATAGCTGAGCTCTGCCACTGCAACTTCGTGCGTCCTGATCTGAAACCCGATCAACAAAAACGAAATCCCATTCTTGTTACCATTTGTGTTAAGACAGATTACACAAGTCAAACTGACGATGGCGGTAGAAAAGAAATAAAAAATAAGGAAAGACGGTTACCTCTTTCACGAGATTCAGCTTCGTCTCCGCCGAAGCAGAGGAGCTCGCCGTCGCCATAGAGGGATTCCGTTCCGTCCAAATTCGCTGCGCCGGTGGAACAGAAATCGCGGGTTTCGCTGACGATTATCGAAAACTCGCGGTAAAGAGTCAGGTTTTACGGGCCTCTGCAATGGCCCATCAAAGATAAAGGGCTACCGCGAGCCCAAACTTGCTGAAGTCGGCCCAGATTTATCTATATAAATACAGCCCAACAGATGAGCACAAAACCCTTCCATCTCCCGAAAGCGCCAGCGGCAGTTCTCAGAAAGAAGTCTGCAAAGAGTAGAGCGAGCCGTTAGCCAAAGAAGAAGCCGCCATGGGTAAATCTTCTCAAGCTGCTGGCCTGCTGATCGGAATCTTCCCTAATCCGTTTGATTGGAATCATCTGCTGATAGGGTTTTGCCGTTTTCGATCGATTTTGCAGGAAAGGTTCACGGATCTCTGGCTCGTGCCGGCAAGGTGAGAGGCCAAACACCCAAGGTCGCGAAGCAGGAGAAGAAGAAGAGGCCACGCGGCCGCGCCCACAAGAGGATGCAGTACACCAGGCGTTTCGTCACCGCCGGTAAGACTCTTCTTCTTCCTTGCTTTTGGTAATTTTTGTTTTGGTATTCAGTGCTTCGATGAAGGGATCCAGTTTCCGTTTTTGTTCATTTGTGCATTCCGTTAGGGTTCAGCTGAAACGTATTTCTGAAAGTGGACTTCGGTTGCATTGCTTGCTGGTGAATTGGACTGGATCCGGGTTTTGTACTCTTGTTTTGGATTCTGAGCTTCGATGAAGGAAATTAGTTCCCTTTTGATTAATGCATAACGTTGGGAATTGGGATTATGTTGAAACTTAGCTCTGAAGGTAGAATTAGACGGTGAAGGTTCTAATCTGTTGCATTGCTTGCTGGTGAATTGGACTCCAAACCTTATCAAGGGTAGCATTTTTGCAAACCAGGACTTATCTGATGTTCGCTGTTCGTCCCTGATGGATTTGAGCATGTTTATTCTAAAACATTGCGCTTGAGCGAGAATGTCGTTTATGGAAGCTAAAACGATAACATTAGGACGCTGCTGAAAGCTAGTTTCTTGGACTGTGTTTTGATCATGTTTCTGTCTCTCCCTTTTTGTTACAGTTGTTGGCTTTGGCAAGAAGCGCGGGCCTAACTCATCCGAGAAGTCATAAAGAGGAGAAGTTCATCTGCTGGATCGATGAGCAGTTTAGATAGTCCGCTGTTGTTTCTTTTCTTTACAAGCAGACATTTGCTCTTTTTCTCTCTGTTGTCAAGGATGAATTGAATGTTATGGTTTCAGACTTGTCATGATCTATTTCTTACTTAGTGCTGTGAACAAATTAGTAGCTGCTCTTTGATTGAAAGCCAAGAGTAATCCCTGTTTTTCTCTAGCTTGTTATGTTGAGCTCGCTCCACATTGTTCTGGTACTGGTTTTAGTGTTTTGAATCATGTTGCAGCTTGCCTCTTCTTTCTCGAAGTGAAATGCTCTAGGAACTCAGTTCTTGGTGCTTCTTTTGGGTTGTTCCTAGTTTGTGATTCAGTCGGTCTGGTAGGATACCGTATTACAACCAGATCATAAATTCAGGTGGGAACTAACTCGAATTGACAGATCTTTGTTTCTATGATGAACCATCGACATTGAATTATGGGCAAAATATGAGCCATGAAAGATAAGAGAAGGTATATAAGAGAAGAACGCCCAATATACATCATGCAAGACTGAGGTCTATTAAACTATAATAAACCAAATGGCTTAATAGGGTCATTTTTGCCCTGTGAACATTACAATGGTTTAGCAGCTGAAAAAATGCAAACAATCTGTCTATTACAAAAGTGCTTTTACCAAACCCTGCACGGCTGCATCCTGTCACTACTTGCATTTTCCATATTTGTATGCCTTGGGAAGGTTACTTCCTTTTTGCCAAAATAAAAATTGATGCAACAATGAACTATTGTTGTGAGTGCTATAGATGATGCTTCTTCTTTCATGTTGGTGAGAAACTACACTTACTCTCCTTCCCAGCCAACTTGACGGGCCCTTCGCTCCCACAAAGCGGTGATCTTCCTCTCCCGACGCAACAGAGCTTCAGCCCTCTCCCTGGACCCCTCGCAAGTTTCCGTTGCAGCGATGCACTTCTCGGCTTCTTTTTGGTACTGAGTCGCCACTCTCTTTGCGTCGCCAAATGTGATGTTCACGTGGTGAGCGTGTTCCAAAGCGACGGCTTCCTGCAGCTTCAGCTCCTCAGTTAGCAGGTCCACAAACTGCTTCTCCATCTCCTTTTTCAGTTCCGGATCGCTGCTCCCGCAATCTGCTCATGAAAAGAATCAACTTTTTGACATTGTAGTTGGTTGGTTGGTTGCTGGAAGGTCCATGCTATAGCAAGTGGAATAGGAAAACCTAATGCAACAGATGTACATTCGCTTCACACGATGACTAAATATGATCAGAAACAACAGATGTGCCTGATTTATGCTTCAAGATATTGGAGTAAATTGAGAGAAGTTTGGTAAGTCGGAATGTTGTCTAACCTGTGACTGAGAGATTGGCCAACCCTGCAAGCATAAAAGAGGATAAACCATAAGTCATCAATAATTAGATTCTATTTGCGCCATTTTGGACTGTACTTGAAACGGAAAAGTAGAGGAATCAATTTAAACAAACAAACAGCAGAAGAAGGAACTACGTGCATAAAATTCTTGGTTTAGCTTTGCTCCTCTGGCAATGCATGTTATGGGAACTTTCACACGATAAAAGATAGAAATGGCGATGACCAATTCAAGTGATGAAACTTATAATAATGCTGATTATCATTTGGGACTACTTAAATATAAAATAATCATGCTTCATTACACAATTCAGAATTCTGTTCCCATCCAGGCCTGGGAGAAGATCTAAACCAATTGAAATACATTACACAAGTGGGAAATCCCCACCAGACAAGTTATATTCTATATTGCAAAGACATCTGACATAGAAGGTATAACATCAAGAACAATGGAAAAGACAGGATCATCTTCATAACTGCAAACTAGATTCTGCAGAATGGTTTGGGATGAACTGACAAAAGCAATGCTGGGATCGACTGGAGAGAAGGATTGTGACCAGATGATTTCAGTATAGCTTCGTGTGGATTCGTAAATGTCCTAAATAGATGTTCAAATACTGGTCTAGCAAACTGAAAGTATTACATAGAAAGAAAATGGAAAGATTTGTCTAATCTTATGACAACTTAAACCAGAGACGAAAATAATTTGAGATAGTATGTAGCTAAGGAATACTATTCATCACAATTCCCTGATGTTCATTCCATTTCAGCCTGATTCAGATCACACTACAGTAGCTTCAGACATAAATTAAAAGCAAAACGGTCAAAGCAGCACTAGTACCCATAGATTTCTATCTTGCATAGAGCTAAGCTCATGCCAACTCGGCAACTCCCTAGCATCCATGGCAAATCTCCATGTAATTCTCGAATTCAACAGACAAAACATTGATTATACACTCAGATCCACAGAATCAGGACTACCAACATATCAAAACCTCAACCTGCTCACAACCCAGCTAAAATTCACAAAAGCCATCGAACAAAACAGTAGATTCACGACTACCCAGATGTAAACAAAAAGAAACGGAATGAATAAACACAGAAATCATTAAGGGAAAGTGGGATCAGATTTACCTGGAGCAATCTTGAGAAGAGACAGAGGAGGCGGGCAATCGCAGGCACACGGAGGGCAAGAAGAAGCTTGGGAATCGGACAACCTCATCGTCTTCTTGAATCTCCAATAGATTGCTGGTCCGCAAACCGCCAGAGCCGAAACCACCGCGAATATCACCAAACAACACCTCAAGCAAGCTCCCGATCTCCTCGACATTTTCCCCTCCAAAACTACCAAGAATAACACCCCCGCGAAAATTTGCTATCCCCCGCTCAATCTATAAAAATTCGCCCTCTACCTCTGCATCTACCTATCTCAGTGTTACAGTTCTAATGTATCGAGCCAGGCGAGACGAGAGCCGCCACCATCATTGCGCCGCGTTGAATAAGCAGAGTGGGAGCCTTTTTAACCTTTTCTACCCACTTTCCTCCCTCTCACTCGTTTTGCCTCCTCTGTGTCTGGCTGTGAGAGTCGGTGGTTTTTGGCGATGGCGACAGCGCAGAGTGAAGTAAGAGAGATAGAGAGATCCGAGTGAGGAAGATGGAGTTTTGAATTGATGGGTCGAGCTCGAAGAGTGGAATGGAGCGAAAGGAATGAATCTACCTTTGGGATGAAAATGTAAAGCTTGCTTTTTTGAGTTTTTCCCCTTCTTTTTTGTTTCCTAATTTCTCTTTCAAGCTATTGCTGTAAATAAAATAGATCAAAGTTCAGACGAATTATTAAGGGGAAAAAATGGACGATAATTAATTAATTGCTTCTTCCGGGCAAAAAGTCAAGAAAAATAGGGCCGGTGGTTATTTTATTTGTTATGGGCTTTGACTTTAATGAGCCGCATGGTGGGCCTCGGTAAATGCTCAAAGCTATGCTGGGCTGTTTGTTAATAACATGCTATGCTATGATTAGTAGGGGAGGACTACGGTCCGGTTGACACAGGACCGAATCGGATGAATATTTGGTCGAATCGAGTCGAAAATAATATGCAGTTCAAATCAATTTTGGTTCTATAAATTATTTTAAGTATAAAGAAAAAATGAAATGAAATTAAATTTTAATCGAATTGAATCGAATCAAATCAAATGAATCAAACATGCTTTTCGTCTAGTTCCGATTCTCATTTTTCCTTTGCTTTATATCCGATCATATCTCAATTCGATCCGGTTCTACCGAATTGACCCATGACCACCCTACATGGCTGGTGTCTCAATTAGAAGTTTCGCTTCGTCCATCTGTGTTTGTGAAACCGTATCATATAAGAAGACAAACTATATATAGCAGTAAGAAATGGTTGAATCATGATATTAGCACCAAATACCATACCGCTAACTTTTTCGTTACAATTTTCGATACGGTTTCAGCCCAAAATAACATACGGCTAACTTTCACTGTTTCACTCATTCTTTCATGGAGTGTTTCATATCTTCATAATACTCATTGATCCACTTCTTTAGAATCCCAACTTCTTGGTTCCTCAGGTCCACAAGCCAATGTGGATCATCTTTAGATGCAGACCGAAAATCGACATGGTGAGCCCCTATAGCATAACACATGAAGAACAATATCAAACAATGTTGAAATTTAGATAAACAGCCATGGAGGAATCTGAATGTTCCAACTCCTAACCTTTCTGAGTCACGAGAGCAATTATGCTGGAAGAAATGTTCTTCAACACACTGCAAATACCGAAACAGCAAGCTGTTGAGTTCATTTTCCTCATAGAATTTATCAGTAATTTTGAAGATATTTTGTTAACAATAAAGGGAAGTTTGTGACTGACCCTCCTCTGCTCCAAGGGTCTTGCATTCCATTGGAGAATATGATGTTGCTTCCATACCTCTTCAGGACTAGCTTGATGTTCTGCACGTTCGAGATGGAACTTGTTCGATTTTACAGTCTGCTAAATAGGAACTGGAAGTTGCATTTGAATGAGGATTTACTACCTTGCCACCAAATTCAGTAGTGATCCAATGTGGGCGAGGCATGACCCCGAACTGCCGCTTACATTCTTGAGAGAATTCTTTGTAGTCAAACCCAGATGGAGGGAACATGCTGTGTTCTGTTCGATTCATCGGCATTACCATCTCCGTGCAAGCCTGGATAGTGAACAAATGAATCAATCCCATGAATGAAGATGACGAAAAGATTCAAACATTCCGTATACTTTTTTTCTCGGCTCACCTGCCAATCCCAGCCATGCAGGCCATGAGAATCAGGAGCATGTTCCAACTCGAAGCACTTGTGGGTTTGAGAGTAGTTGTAGTACAAGCTGGCCGCTCCAAACACTCTCGTGAGCTTTGAGGTTCCGGCTGGGAATCCATCAATGATCTTGCACATCTATTGATCACACAAAGACCAAAGTTAAGTTGGAACAACCCTCTGAACAGCTGAAGAGTTTGGCATCAAATAAGATAATACAGTTTGCTTACTTCCTCCACAGGGTAAGCAGGGAGCGGCATCATGAAATTTGCCTCAGTTGGGTAGTTCACCATTGCCGTGTATACATATGCTGACCATAACCAGTCCCAAACTGGATCTACTGACTGCACATTTCTTTAGAACCAAAAAAAACAACGAATTTAATCTTTGCAAGTGATACCATAACACATCGCTCACAAATGCTAGCTCAAGTTCCTTTTTTCTGTGCTGAAAGTGCCTCAAGCTCAGTATGCAACTGCTTTAACAGAATTGAGGCAATAGTGTTGACTACTCACTTGCAAGCTCTGAAAGTTCTGCTTATTTCAGCTAATCCTTCTTTCTGTGCTGAAAGTGCCTCCAGCTCATCCCAGCTGCCCTTAATCACTTCATAACAATTCAGGCTTGCATCCTATCATTCATGTTCTCATTTTAGGCATAGCCTCAAACGAAGAAGACACTAATAAAGAGCATAAAAGATAGCTGAGAATAAAAGGTAAGACTAGAGACCTTAAAGTCTTGAGAAACAGCATCATAGAAGCTGGACCATGGAGTAATGTCATCAAACTGCAGAATAGGTGCTGAAGATGCCAATGCAGCCATGGCTATGTGAGGGTATTTCAGTCTGAACCAAGATGCCAGCACTGCATGTTCATTCAGTAGGAAGCCCAAAGTAAGGGAAAGCTTCATCAAAGTACAAGGAAGCATTAAAAGCAGCTTCTAGAGTCAAAAGAAAGTGGCTGTTCTGTTATTTTAAACAGTAAAAAATTTAATTGTCAACACCAAAGAGGGGAGCATTTATAAAGGCATAAACAACATTCTTTCTGGGGAAATGGGTTTCTCAGTTCTCGCTTACTTCCTCCATAAGAGCCACCAAAGACCACAACTGGTGAAGATTCAGATGAAAGATTATGCTTCAAGCTCCTTATCACCACAGCAAAATCAGCCAATGCTTGCTGTGAATTCAAGTACCCTAGTGTCTCTGCTGACTTATATGAGCCATTCCCAAACGGCATCGACTCCCCATAAAACCTATGCTGCAAACAAAAACCAAAAACACAAGAAAACCCATCAAGCAAAATGGACAATTCACCATTGTAAGTTCACAAAGTTGGAACCTTTTTTCTAAAAGTTTTCTTACTTCAATGAAAACCAGGAGAGCGTGGAATTTAGGAGCAACATCCATCAAGAAGCCAGTGTTGGAAGCAAACCACTCAATGTCACCTTCATTCCCAGTGTACACGAAAATCGGAGCTCCTCTATGCCAAAAAGTGGAGTTCAATAGATACTTTTGGGGGAAGAGCTTGTATCCTTTTGGCTGAAAAGTGAAGTGGTCAAGAACTTGAGGGAAATAGTGGGTAGTGTAAGGAAGCTTTGGCTTTGGCTTTGGCCTAGCTGCTGAGTGTTTAGCCCTTTGGGCCAATGAGTGATGGTAATAAGAGCTGGGGGGAAAAGTTGGCAGCTTTGGGGTTGAAGATGAAGCAGCTGGAGGAACAAGTAGCAGTGATGCAAATACAGCAAAGGAGAGGTAGAGCAGAGGAAAGGGGATTGCAGAAGGAGCCATTAATACAAGCTAGAGAATATTGGGAGCAGAAAGAAAGAAGAAAAGGCAATTCTGGTGCTCTGGGTTATAACTCTCTATAATGTCATTGTTGCCCTTTATGAAGAAAAGGTGAGATTGAAGGGGGGAAAAAGTGAACCTTCTTTTAATTGGATAGAGGCCAAAGCAATAATTGATTGAAGGTTGAAGAAGGTGCCAAAAAGCTGAGAAAGCAACTGGATGGGGCTGATGATAGGGAATCATTTTGAAGCAGTTACAGAGAGAGGAAGAGGGAATCGTGTATTGACGAAGGAGAGAAATGGTGGTGGCCAGTGAACAGTATGGGTGGTCCTGTTTTCTTCGCAGTTCATCTTGCTGCCTGCAATTATTACTCAGGCCAGGAGGAACATAGCAGTGGGCTTTTTGTTAACAAACGTTCTTGCTATTAAAGTTTCAGAAATGGGTAGCCATTGGAACCAATTAAGATAACCATGTGATTAGCTGATGACTATGGAAGTTTGATGGGATTTTTGTGACTGGTTTTGGGGGTTGGATGGCTTCTGCTTATTCTAGATGTTCCTGCATGTCTGCCACTAGCGTGGGATTAAGAACAAACAAATGGTCAATCAACTATAAGTCGCAACAGAAATGACTGCTAAACTTGTCCCTCGATTTTTTTTTATTTTTATAAATATGATTATAGGTATAATTAGGGGTGGAAATTGGGGTGGGGCGGGTAACCACACCCACAAATATAGAATTATACTACCCACAACCCGCCCCATAGTGGGTAGTGGTTAACCACTATCCACTGTGGGTTGGTGTGGGTTGGATGTGGATATCCACAAAAAATTTCCTTCCTTCACCCATTGGACTCGTATATGATAAACCTATCGGTCGAGTGACGGCAAAAAAAAAAAAACACATTGAGTTAAAACTAAGTAAAGAAGCCCAAGACATGGAACGAGCGAAGATCCGATATTCGGAACCTCCTAAGTCCTAAGTAGTCAACCTCCCTCTCCTCGGTTCACTTCACTCGTTTACATGTCACTTCACTTTCTTTAGGAAATGCAGATTGATAACGAGTATGGATTGAAGCGATCTAATCTTAATATACATAGCATCTTTATCAGCGACATGACTCCTTGCATTTTTAATTCAAATTTTTTTTTTTTTTGGATAAATGGAACTCTCTCCCGAGTTGCGAAATTAGCGTATTCTTACACAAAAACAAAAACCTACATAAAAGAAAGTTAATCAATAAAGTGTTAAATAAACTATAAACCACATTTATCGTCTTTGTTTTGTTATAAAATAAACATATACCACACAGACAATACTTATTTAATAAAAGTATCACATACGAACACGGTGTATTGACTTAGTTTTATTTTATAAAATAAGTATATATTTGATTTTGTAGCCTACTTTAATTTGTAGTATTCTACTTTTCACATACTTTAATATTACAAAGTATTATTAATAAATAAATATACTTAGTGCGGTTATTGTGGGTTTTGTGGGTTAACCGTTATGGATAGTGGTTAACCAGTAACCACAAAAATCAATATTTTGCTACCCACACCCAACCCACTATCCACAAATTGTGGGAATGGTTACCCACAATGTATGCGGTTTGGTGCGGTTTGTGGATTACCCGCAATCCGCAAACCAAACTTCCACCCCTAGGTATAATCTACCCTTCTAGTATGTAGTTTTATCAAACATGTCTCTTTACTATTTTTATATCAAATATGTCTTTGTACTTTGAAAAAATTATCAAACATGCCCTTTTGTTAAAATTTCCATTAAAAAAATCGTCAACCATGGTTGAACCGAGATGTAGACGACCCGACATCGGCAAATGAGAAGAAAAATGTCAGTTTTGTCCCCCATTTTACTTTTCTAGGTCTCGTTAAAGTGAAATTATTAGAGGTATTTGGCTCTACAAAAGAACCCAAAAAATTCTAAAGTGAAATTATCAGGGATATTTTAAACATCTATGTCGCCCAAACTAGGAGTGGGCGTTCGGTCGATTCGGTTTGAACCAAACCGAACTGGTATACCCCGAATTCCTGAACCACAGCATCCCTCAACCGAATTCGAACCGAGTTATAATTCGGTTCGGCCAACACAAGCTTTCTCCAAACTGAAAAATGTATGCTCTGTCCATTTTTGTTCTTTTGTTCTGTCTTCTGGTTGTTGGGCCAGATGAGAGGGGATTCTTTACCTTCTCTCTCTCGGCTCGCCCCACTAACACAAGCTTTCCCCAATCTTCTTCTTCTTTACTTTTCTCTCTCACTCTCTCGCCCAGCAAACAAGCTTCCCATTCCAATCCAAATCTCATTGCTCCTCACATAGTCGGATATCACCACTCTATCTCCTCTCCCTCAAATCTGTTATTCTCGTTTTATCCTGGTGGGTCAACGCCATCTATGGAGGAACGAGAAGATCTCGGTGTGTACGGACGGGCAGCGGCAGGAGGATTGGCGGTGCTCCAATCCCACTGACAGGCGACGTTGAAGATGGAAATAGGTTCTAGGTATTAGAGAAAAAGAATAATATTTCTTTTCTTAATTTTGTATTTAACTTAGTGCACTAAGTGCACCTATTAACCTGCACCCACTACATCACTCTCCTGTAAACTCTCCGTTTCCATCTAACAAACCTCCTGTAATTATGTATAAAGCAGAAGCTGAATCCAATGAGCAGATCACGTTTTGATTGCTTCAGAATATCTTCACTTCAATTCTGTTATTCCTTTATGGTATCAGAGCCAGCCAAGATCAGCTAGCATCGATCCATTTGCCTAAATTGGACCTCATTTTTTTCACCCTTCTCTTCAGTCTCGAGACTCTCTATTTCCGATCATCCTGTCCGACAGCTCTGGTGTTGTCAACACCGCATCATCTGCAGAGACTCCCACCATAATCACCTTCAATCCAGCTGCTCAGCTTCCTCTGAAGCTCACCCCAACCAACTTCGCATCCTGGCGCTCTCAGCTGGAAACCCTCCTTATGGGTCTCGATCTGTTCGGCTTCATCGACGGGACTTCCGTCGCTCCTTCTCGCACTGTCATGGTAGATGCGACTGCAACTCCCAATCCATCCTATCAATATTGGTTTTGCCAAGATAAGCTCATTCTACACGCCTTACGCTGCTCGATTTCTGAATCAATCTATTCATTTGTTTCTTCCGCTTCGACATCTCGGGATGCTTGATTGATTTTGGAAAAACTTTATGCTAGTCATGCCCAGTCCCGAGTTCTTCATCTGAAAGGAAAATTGACCAAAACTGTCAAAGGGAATCGTGATGTGATGTCTTTTGTGAATAATTTAAAGGGCATCGCTGCGGAACTCGCCCTTATCGGCAAACCCGTCTCTGACCTCGACCTTGTTGTCTTCTGCCTTTGCGGGTTGGGAGATGAATATAGTGCGTTTGCGGCTGCTGTCCGCGCTCGTGGTTTTGGACTCAGCCTGGAGGATCTGGTCGACTCCCTTGTTGAATATGAAGTCGATCTCCAGGCTCAATCAAAGTCCACAGTTTCGACTGCCTTCTTTACTCAGGGACAGCAGCGGCATCTCGGCGGCGGCGGGCAGTTTTCCCCTCGTTCTCAGCGAGGGCTATCTCAAGGACAACAGCGGGCTTCAACTCCAAGGGCCTCTGATTATCAGCGGGCTTCAGGCCCATCATTTGGCCATCCAGACCAGTCCTCTCTTGGGCTGCCCTCTCCTGCTCAGTCCACCAGCCGTCGGCCCTCCATTATATGTTAGTATTGTGACCGCCCAAGTCACTCAGTTCGACAATGTTTTAAATTATTCCCTCGGGCTCGTCAGGCTTATCAGGCCCGTCAATCTCAGGCTCATCACACCACCACTGCCACCACCACCATCAGACTTAAACTTCAACGGATAATACCATGTATATCGAGAAAAATGATCGACGATAATTAAGTAATAACGAAAACCATCAATGGAGGAGACCGGAGCCGGACCCCAAACATCCGTATACAATAAATCAAATGGTCTAGTGCTGAATAAGGAAGACACAGCAAAGGGAAGTTTGTGACTTTTATTGGAAAGACAAGAGTTGCAATGATCACTGACTATAGAGGAAGAAACCGGTAAGGATTGAGAGCGAATGAGACTAGAGAGTGAGCGAGAGGAAGGATGGCCAAGGCGGGAATGCCAGGACGTGGAGGAGGTACGAGTGGTGACAAGTGCAAGACACAACATGGTCCACATCACTAGGCAGCTCATAGACATCGCCATTATTTCCCCCTTTCAGCAGTGGCGCCCCCGTGCGAAGATCCTTCACAACAAAACAATCAGCAAAAAATTCCACCGAGATGGGATTAGTACGACAAAGCTTGGCAACAGAGATAAGTTTGCGCTTGATGGAAGGAGCACACAAAACATCATGTAATTGTAAGGAAGAAGTAGAGTGTTGATGAGAAGTAGACCCAATGTGCGTAATTTTCAAACCTGTGCCATCGCCAACCAGAAGCTCATCAGGACCAGTATAATCCGAATAGAGAGACAATGGCCTCGCTGAACGAAAACATCGCCATCTTGTCGAAACGGGTATCACTCTCCTGCATCATGCTAATCTTCCTACTATCTTTCGGTCTTTTGCTTTTTTCCACAGCTACCTATTTGATTAACCGCCTACCCTCATACTCTCTACGTGGTCAAGTTCCCTACACTGTGTTGTTTAACCTTGCTCCGAACTATCATAAAATTTGTATCTTTGGATGTCTCTGCTATCCTTGGTTACGCCCTTACTCCTCTAACAAACTTGATCCCCGCTCCCGGCCTTGTCTTTTTATTGGCTACTGTCCCCAACGCAGTGCTTACAAGTGTTTTGATCCCCAAACTCACCGCATTTTTCTTTCTCGCCATGTTATATTTGTAGAAACTTCCTTTCTTGGGTTCTCTCCTAATTCACCTGCAGATTCCTCCACGGTGGATGCATGGTTGCACGACACAGGCCCATCCATTGTTCATCTCCCACTAAATGGGCCTTGGCCCATCATTGGCACTCACTAGGCTCCCTCCTCACCAGCTGCTGGCCCCTCTGCGCTGGATCCCTCCGCTGAACAATCCGGGCCTCCGGCTGCTCTATCTGGGCCTCCCCCTGCATCCCTTACCCGGCCGGTCCATCCGGCTTCTTCCGCTGCTCAACAGATCCGCCAGGCCCTAGCTGGCGCCCCACCGGCCCACCCGGCCTCTTCTGCTGCCCCATCGGCCCGCCCGGCCTCCTTTGCTGCTCCAGCGGCCCACCAGGCCCCATCCTCTTCTCATCGGCTTGAGAATTCCTCGCCGCCGCCCACTGCTTCCTGTCCAGCCGGCCCACCTCCACTTATCCGCAGTCACACCATGACCACAAGAGCACAAGCTGGCATCTATAAGCCCAAGCGGCTCTTTCAGGCTAATGTGACGACTCGGCCTCCTCCTCTTGAGCCTCGTTGAGTCTCTGAAGCTATGAAATATCCAGAGTGGGATGCCGCGCTTCACAAGGAACATTCAGTCCTCATTCAAAATCATACGTGGGATCTTGTTCCCCGTCAGCCGCACTTCAATGTTTTGGGCAACAAATGGGTATATCGCATCAAACACCACTCTGATGGTACTATCAACTTATTCAAGTGCCGACTAGTGGCAAAATGCTTTCATCAACGCCCTGGTGTGGACTTCCATGATACGTTTGGCCCTGTGGTCAAACCTGTCACAGTCCACACAGTTTTTACCATTGCGCTTTCTCACAATTGGCCGATCAAGCAGTTCGATGTCAACAATGCTTTTCTATAGTGGCCTCTTGAGGATGAAGTCTATATGGTACGACCCCCTGGGTTCGTTGATCCTCAACACCCTACTTATGTGTGTCTTCTCCGTCGTGCCATCTATGGCTTACGACAAGCACCTCGAGCTTGGTATACTGCTCTCAACACTTTTCTTCTTACTTTTGGCTTTCAGAAGACACAGTCCGACGCCTCGTTATTTGTGTATCATCGTTTTGGGGTAATCCTGTACTTCCTGGTCTATGTTGATGATCTTCTTCTTACGGGTAATGACGAGGCCACCCTCTCTGCTTTTCAAGGGGCCTTGGCTCGACGGTTCTCTCTTAAAGAACTTGGCGATGTTAATTATTTTTTAGGCATCGAGGTCATCCCTACGGCCACAGGTTATGTTCTCTCCCAGCATAAGTATATGACTGATATTCTTACTCGGTTTCATATGCTTGATGCAACGTCAGTATCCACTCCTATGGCCTCCTCCGTTACTCTTTCTGTTCGTGATGGTACTCCTCTTACCGATGCCACCCGGTGTCGCCAGGTTCTTTGATCACTCCAGTATCTTGTCTACACTCGTCCGGACATCTCCTTTGATGTCAATAAGCGCTCTCAGTATATGCATGCCCCGACCATCTCTCATTGGCAGAATCTTAAGCGCCTGCTCCGCTATGTTTGTGGTACACTATCCTATGGTCTTGCTATTCGCCGCTCTGCTCAGCCTTTGCGCCTCACTGCTTTCGCTGATTCTGACTGGGCTGGTAATTTGGATGATCGTACTTCCACTTCTGCCTTCCTGCTCTACTTCGGGGAGACCCTTATATCCTGGCGTTCACAGAAACAACATACTGTTGCTCGCTCCAGCACCGAGGCTGAATATCGTGCCATTGCCCATGCCACTGCAGAAGTCGAATGGGTGCAGAATCTATTGATTGAACTACATCACCAGCTGGCCTCTCCAGCGACTCTCTTCTCAGATAATCTTGGGGCTACATGTTTCAGCTCCAATCCTGTTTTTCACTCTCGTATGAAGCACCTCTCCCTCGATTATCACTTCGTTCGTCAACTTGTACAGGCAGGCCGTCTCACTGTTCGCTATGTTCCTACGGCTCAACAGCTTGCCGACACTCTCACTAAGCCGCTGCCAGCTGCCCGGTTCCTTCTCCTACGGTCCAAGATTGGAGTCGTTGACACTACCTCCATCTTGCGGGGGCGTATTAGAGAAAAAGAATAATATTTCTTTTCTTAATTTTGTATTTAACTTAGTGCACTAAGTGCACGTATTAACCTGCACCCACTACATCACTCCCCTGTAAACTCTCTGTTTCCATCTAACAAACCTCCTGTAATTATGTATAAAGCAGAAGCTGAATCCAAGGAACATATCACGTTTTGATTGCTTCAGAATATCTTCACTTCAATTATGTTATTCCTTCACTAGGATCGGGTAAGCCATTCAACATGCATGTGGTTTCTCGATTGATTTTCAGTAGTGATTTTCGTGCATGTGGGTTTTTATGTTTGGATTTGGGTTTCTGGTATCAGGGAGGAGAAGGGAGCGGAGAGAGGAGAAAGGGGAAAGGGGTTTCGACTTGAACTCCAGTGGCCGGCGAGTTTACCCGGAGAAGAGAACAGAGAGAAGAGGGAATTCAATGACGTCTCTCAATTAGGGGGCATCGACAAAGTCGAGAGATGAGAGGAGAGTTTGGCGACGCCTACGAGGGGCGGAGGAGACGGCAGCAGCGGCGACCTTGTTGGTATTTTTGTTAGGGTTAGATTAGCAGCAGCCAGCAGACATGGAGTTGTGGGCTTAGAGATGAGTTGTGTTTTATTTGAGTGGGTTAGGTTAGCAAACATGGAGGAGTTGTGGGGTGAGGGATTTAATTTTGGGTTTTTTAAATTTGAGCCGAGATTTTTGGGTTTTGTTAGAGCCTTGAGTAGTCACTTGGGTTGTAGATTGTGGGATTAAGTTTTAGTTCGGTTTCTCGGTTCGGTCTTTCGGAATTCGAGTTCGGTCTGTGTACTCTGGTTTACGAACTACAGCCTTTTGTCTTCCGAATTCCGAACTGAAAACAATATTTCGGTTTTGGTTCGGTTTAGTTCGGTTTCGGGTCGGTTCGGTTCAGCTTTACCGAATCGCATGCCCACCCCTAGCCCAAACCAAGGTACGACCGTGGTTGGCTGTTTTTGGATGAAAATATTAACAGAAGGGCATGTTTGATCATTTTTCTAAAGTACAGGGATAAGTTTGATGTAAAAAATAGTAGAAGGGAATGTATGATAAAACAACATAGTAGAGGGGCATATTATACCTATAACCTTATAAATAGGGTTAATTGCATGGTTGGTCACTGAGATTACAAAAAACATTCAAGTTTGGTCACTCGAAATATTTAAATCCATTGGTGGTACTTCAGTTTACTGAAACCGTTCACGTTTGGTCACTCTCCGTCCGCCGTTAACAAAAGTTGACCATTAAATGTGTGATGTGACAATTTAAAAATAATAAAAATAAATTTTGTAGAATTCCCATCTCATTTCTAACTATTAAAAATAAAAGGGTTAATACCCTCGTTTGGCACGAAGTATAGCGTTAGTGACATTTCTGGCCCAAGTTTTCAAATAAGACATCTCTGGCCCACTTTTCAAATTATCGGACGAATTTGGCCTGTGGGACGGGTTGACTGTCAGATTTGACGGTCAACAATGTTCTCCGTTGCTTACTCAGCATTGGACTCTGACGTGGCTTCTCCACGTCATTTATTTTTATTTCCCCTTTTATATCCATTTCTAATTCAGTAAGTTAAAAAAAAAAAACAAAAAAACAAAACTAAAGGGAAAGGTGGAGACCACACACCCCATCTCTTTCCATTCTCCCTTCTTCCCCCGATACCCCACCCCCTCGTATCCCCTTCTCCGCCGCCGCCAATCCGACCCAAATCTTCTTCTTCTTCGTCTCCTTCCTCCTTCGTCTCCTTCCCTCTCAAATCTTCTTCTTCTTCGTCTCCTTCCTCCTTCGTCTCCTTCCCTCTCCAATCTTCTTCCTCTTCGTCGCCAACCCATCGAGAGGAAGCAAGCACAATGTCATCTGCTAAAAAGAGGGGAGGGGGAAGTTCAGCCGGTTCGAGTTCTACAACCACACCCATCGAGAGGTGCAAGCACAATGTTCCATGTATTGTGCAGATGTCTAGAACAGAGGACAATCCGGGGAGAATGTTCTATTCCTGCCCGTATTGGCAGGTATGTTTTCTGATGTCTCAGTTTTTCCCAAAATGGTATTCTTCTTTAAATTTAATCAAGTTCCTTAATGTAGGATGCTAAGGAAGGTTGTCGTCATTTTAAGTGGTGTGATCGGAGAACATCAGCAAATTCAAGTGTGCTTGAATCTTTTATGGAGGAGAATGCTCTGTTGAAATCGAGAATCTGTGAGATGGAAGCTGAGATTGTCACTTTAACTCAAGGAATTGAATGTCGTATTAGTGATGTTGAAGAGAAGGTTGAGAAGAGGAAGGAAAAAAAGTTTGATATGGCCGAAGAGTTTGAAAAATTTGCTGCTACAAGTGCTCGAAGCTGTCTTGAATTGGAGAATTTGGGGCATACTGTTTGTAAACTTCAGAGTAGGGTGAATCATTGTTATATCGGTATTGGTTTGCTGTGTGTTTTATACTCTGTTAGTTGGCTCCTACGTGGGTAAAACGTGTGTACTGCAGTAGTTGTCGAGTTAGCTTGTAATGTATTGAAGGTAAACTTTTTTAGATTGTAATGCATTGAAGTTAAAGTTTGTTTTCTTGTAATCCATTGAAGCTGTAGTTCGTTTGCCTGTAGATACCATAACCTGGAAACAAGTTCATGAACACAAATCTCCACTTTCATAACCTGAATTCAGCATGAACACAAGGTGATATAACCTGGAAACAAGTTCATAACCTGGAAACAAGTTCATGAGAACACAACTACACAAATCCTAGTATGAAAACAGCATAAACCATGTTCAGTAAACCATGTTCCATAACCTGAAAAGAGCATAAACCATGTCCATACGCGAGTCTAGACATTCCCTAACACATGCCTATTACATGTTCAAAATACAAAAGAAGGGAGATGTCATTTTCTTGGTTCATCATATCCACCGTTGCTTGTTTACTGTGTCTCGGGTTGAGTCGATGGAGGTTGAGTAGTGTTCATGGGCGGATGATCTGGTTCATCCGGTCCCCTCCTACCTCCTTGTTGTGGATCTCTAGTACTCATCTGCAATATCAGGCAACAATTAGCATTATCTTCACCTAAGAAGGCAATCTTCAGGCCACATCGAGTTTTAAAAAAGAGATGATAACCCGAGAATACATGTTTCCAGAAGTGGGATCAATGTAAACACCGATTCCTTGTGCAGCCCTCCGCACTTCCCGTTCCATTTGTTGCCTGCTACAAGTACCCATGCTTTCAATCTGTAACATAAAAATGAAGACATAATAAGTTGCATGCTCAAGATTGCAGTTTACAAAGACCATGCTCAAACCTTACTTGAACTCCAACCCTCAACGGACAAGTTCTCGAGTTGTGATTAGCTGCCCCACATCTCGAACAATGAGGCCTTCTTCTTCCTGGCTGCTGAAAGATAATCGATTTTAGATATAAGTATTCAAGTAACAAATAAAATATTGAGAAGGATAGTGGCAATTGACTTACCCCATTTTCAGCTGCAACTGGTGCATTCGGTGGGGCAGCACCTCCTCCATTGTTTCCACCTCGTATTTGCCTTTTACTAGGCGGTGGAGCTGGTTGTGGTGCTGGTGGATTTGTGCAGCTCCTCCTGTTGTGACCTTCACCCCCACACCTCGTGCAATGGACTATACTATGATGCCTAGTAGCAACCACACCATTACCATTTTTAGCATTCTTCGTGATCAGCTCGGCGGCCTCCTTCCTTCGATTCTTCTTTGGGCGCCCAGGCAGTTTCCTCATCTTTGGTGGGTAGATTTTGTACCCTTCCACGGGCAGCCAAGCTTGAGGTCCTTCTGAAGCTGGAATTGGATACTTGTATGAATTTTTCACATATTCCAGTTGCAAGTACCGATGCACATACGCCTCAGGATTAAATCTCATAGAACGAATGGCTGAAACAGCGTGGCAGCAAGGAATTCCATAAAGTCCCCAATATCCACATGTGCATGTACGAGTGTGTAAGTCAACAACATACCCTTTCCCATGTATCTGCACCTCGTGTTTGTGAGCTGAAGATGGACGACTAGTACACATCCTAGCTTCATCCTTATGCTTTTCAAGCTTACTCTTCACAACCGGAGGAAATGGTCCCTTACAAAGACCCATCTTCCTTTTGTTGCTCACCAACCGAGTCATCACAGCCACCCTGATTCCCTCAAGCATAGCAAGTACCCTAAGCACTCGGAACTTCATGATCCAATTATTAAAAGACTCACACACATTGCTCTCCACAGATCCACACTTTGAATGAGTCTTCATGAATACTCGACAGAATCTCTCTGGTTCCATGGCCATAAAGTCCTGATACACAGTCCCTCCAAGATCCTTCAACTTGGCAGTGGCAGCTTTCCAATCAGGCTCGTTGGTGGAGTAGACTGCTTCCCAATACAGTGTGGTAGCCATATCAAATCTGTGTTTAGCCTTAAAGTGTGCATGCACATGGCGAGCACACTTCCTATGCTCTGCATGCGGCAAGCACTCATGGATAGCATCCACCAAACCCTACCAACAGTTAGAAAATCAGCAGAATAGTCAAACAAAGACAATATGTAAATAAAATCAGTTGAGTTGTTCCCAGTAGTCAAATTCAAATAGTAAGCTTACCTTTTGTTGATCGCTAACAATAGTCCAACCGTTTCCATCCACAATATGCAATTGTTCTTTCAATGTTTGAATAAACCATGTCCATGAGCTCCCGTTCTCAGACTCGACAACTGCCCACGCTATCGGGTACATGTGATTGTTTCCGTCCTTTCCAACTGCACTAAGTAGCATGCCCTTAACTTCCCCTTTCAAGAAGCAGCCATCAAGGCAAAAGAAAGGCCTACAACCTTCTAAGAACCCTCGAGACAAGCTTGAAAAGCCCACATAAAAACGCTTGAAGTAGACCTTCTCGGATTCAGGCTCCAAATCAACCTCCAGAAGAAATGTTCCATCCGGGTCGACTTTTTGAAGATGCCCTACATATGAACGCATCCGATGAAAATCTTCTTGCAACGTGCCATGGAGAATGCGCCTTGCTTCTATGCGAGCTCGGTAGCAAGCTTTTCGTGTCACGTCCAGGTTGTGCTTCTGCTTTATCTCAGCTGCCATAAAATTCACATTCCAATCTTGGTCCACCCTAAACCTCTCAAGATATTCAGTAGCTATCCACTTGGCAGTAGCACCACGATTGCGAAAAGAACGAGGGCAGTCATGTGGTGTCCCAACACCCTTGACAATAAAGGTCTCTCTCTTCCCATACCAAGAAGCATACACCCTCCAGCCACAGTTTTGGGCACAAACAGCCTCTTTTTTCTTCTGACTACTGCGTACCCATCGTATATCAGCACCAATCTCAATGGAATGTCTTGTAATGGCCTCTTTAAACTGCTCAGGACTAGCAAACCTCATATGTGTAGTGATCAACAATGTCTTATGATCACATTTGGGATCATAAAACCGACACTTGTCGATCATGGACACTTCCTCTTCCTCGCCAATGTTGCCACGAACATGATCTGAGTTTTCAGAACCCCTATAGACTGTTGCCTCAGACCCTTGAGCTTCATCATCACCCATATCACCACTTTGTTGAACCTCCTCTCCATGTCCATCGGCTGCCTCTTCATCGACATTCACACTAGGTTGAACAGGCTCGTTCACCTCATTGGGGTCTACAAACAACTGATCAACTTCTTCCCCCGATGCAGTCTCCTCCAGCCTAGACCTCTGTAGCATGCGACGATAACAGGCCCGTATTTCATGATATTCCTCATCCGACGTTTGAGCATCGTCTTCATCTATCCGGACGAACTCGGCTACAGCAGAGTTGTCACCCTCCTCATCTTCAACCTCCTCACTATGCCCATAGTTGTCTCCCATCTCATGAATGAACTTAGTTGCTTCAAAAAACAAAGACACCTCTCCGAGCTCGGCATCCACAAGTAGACCATTAATAACGTCGGCATCAGTGCGTATCTCGTGCAGCCCATGTTCCATACTTTGTCCCGGAGTCAAATACCACACCCTTTCCACCGACGAATAGTCTAAATCCTCGATCAATGTACTCACCAACTCAAAATATGACATTTGATCAAGAAGCAGCTGAACCCGGTCGACATCCCCTCCAACATATATCGGTACCTCAGTAGCTGTATCCATCATTCCCCCATGATGAAATAAAAAGTCGATACTCATCCTGCAAAATTGGGCAAAAAATGGGTCACATACAAACAAGCACTTTAGTATTCTTTACCGAAACAGGACATTGTTTATTCACATACAAACAAGCACTTTAGTATTCTTTACCGAGTTCTCAGAATCCCAAAACAGAAAAGAAACAAAAAGGGAGATTGTTTATTCACTTCTGCACTTTCCCAAATTCGATTCCAATATAATAAAGTGTAGAAAACGACATTCAAATATTACCTATTTCAGCTCTAGAATGCAATGTCGTATCTGAAGTGGCTCCTTGCTCGACTGCCGAAGACAGGAGAGGGAAAAGGCTGATCGAAGACCAGTTTATCGCCGGCCGAAGACAGGAGAGGGAAAAGAAATAAATCCCGCCGCCGTGAAATCCCTCCGCCGTGAAGTTATGATGCTCGGCCAAGAAAGGGCCGGCCAAGAAAGGACCGGCAAAGAAGAGAAAAGAAACGACGCGGCGCGGCCAAGAAAGGGCCGGCCGGCCGCCCTCTCGAATCTGTTGGCGGTGAGTCGATCTGTTGGCGGTTTCACAGGAGGAAGAAGGTAATGGGAGGGGGATACGAGCCGACGATGGATGGGGTTTCACAGAAGGAAGAAGGTCGGTGGGGTTTCAAGTGCCATGCACTCCGATTTGGGTCGGATTGGCGGCGGCGATTTGGGTCGGATTGGCGGCGGCGGAGAAGGGGATACGAGGGGGTGGGGTATCGGGGGAAGAAGGGAGAATGGAAAGAGATGGGGTGTGTGGTCTCCACCTTTCCCTTTAGTTTTGTTTTGTTTTTTTTTTTTTTTTAACTTACTGAATTAGAAATGGATATAAAAGGGGAAATAAAAATAAATGACGTGGAGAAGCCACGTCAGAGTCCAATGCTGAGTAAGTAATGGAGAACATTGTTGACCGTCAAATCTGACAGTCAACCCGTCCCACAGGCCAAATTCGTCCGATAATTTGAAAAGTGGGCCAGAAATGTCTTATTTGAAAACTTGGGCCAGAAATGTCACTAACGCTATACTTCGTGCCAAACGAGGGTATTAACCCAAAATAAAATTATAAACTTTAAGAATAAAGGGAAACAGGGGAATTGGGGGAAAACAGCAACGGCGGACGGTGGAACTGGGCAGGATCAAAGGTGGGCTGCCTAGCAAGTGGCGGCTGCCCTCCGATCAAAAACCGGCACCGCAACTGCTTCACCACGGGCCAATCTCCTCGCTCAAGGTTACAGCAGCTGGGAGAAGTTCTTCTTGAGGTAATTAATTCATTTTCGCCTTCATATTTCAAGAACCATTTTCACAACAAAATTTTGATGGTATTATGTTTCTGGTGCATATGTAGGGAAGTGGAAGATGAAGAGAAGCCGGCGAGCCAATACAAGTCGTAGAAGAGGCAGGGGCTGGTGGATGCTGTGGAAGATTAGTGGGGTGACTTGCAAGGTTATGCTGTGGCTGCTAGGTCCTTCAAAATCTCCAATCCTCTGTACTTCATCCCTTAATCAGTTCCATCCACAACATGCTAGGATTTTCAGTTAACTGATCAAACTAATTGGATCCATCCATTGTGAATTCGATCATTACTTTCTTGAATGATTAACAGATTGATAGCTTACAAGACTGATAATTTGGTGTTGAATGTTTGCAGGAGCTACTACAGATGTACTCACAAGTTCGAGCAAGGTTGCAAGGCGACCAAGCAAGTTCGGCAGCTTGAACAGGAAAAGGAGATGTACTCCATAATTTACCTCGGCAATCACACTTGTAGAAAAAATGATGCTCTGACGGCAGCAACACTTCCACCGGTTGTCGCCCTGGCTAGCACCTACGCGGCGACCGCGGTGGAGGCAGATGCGATTGAGAACGAGCTGTTTGCAACGATGAGTGTGAAGCAAGAGGTTTCCAATAATGAAGAGAGCCCAAGTCAACCGCTTCACTGCGGGCCTACTCGTGGAAGACGCGGTGCTGGTTTTTAATCGGAGGTTTCTGCGAGGAGGGCAGCCGTCGCTTGCTAGGCAATCCGCCTTTGATCCTGCCCAGTTCCACCGCTCGCCGGTGTTGTTTTCCCCCGATTCCCTTGTTTTCCTTTGTTCTTAACATTCATAATTTTATTTTTAATAGTTAGAAATGAGATGGAAATTTAAAAAATTTAATTTTATTATTTTAAAATTGCCACGTCATACATTTAACGGTCACTTTTAGAGTTGACCGCCAAGTCAGCAAAAGATAACGGAATTGGCGGAGAGTGACCAAACGTGAACAGTTTCAGTAAACTGAAGTACCATCAATGGATTTAAATATTTCGAGTGACCAAACTTAAACGTTTTTTGTAATCTCAGTGACCAACCATGCAATTAACCCCTTATAAATATGATATAAGTTCGTATTTTTATATTTAGGTGTTAATTAACCCTCTGTTAAAGAACGAGGGAGGAGAAAATTGGAGAGGAAGAAAAATTTAGAGGGTGTTATAGTGTAAATGAACACTGTAGTATTTAATTTGAAGGGAAAAAGAGGCTCAATAAGAACAAATGTTGTTTCCACCTAAAATTGGGTGAACATTACTAAATTGACTTTTTCTCCAAATAATCACTATTTTGTATTGCTCTTCGTGAATTCCTCCAAGTTATGAAGAAGGGAAAAGTTGTGAATCCCTTCAATACCAGTGGATCAAACTCTTTGTCACTCAAAATTGAGCAACATGGTGAAACCACTCCAAGTAGTTGGTGTGCTTCGTATCCTTTGTGTTGATTGTGTTTATGCCATTTTATTCTTACGAAATGTATTAAAGAATATTCACTTAAATGTTAATTAGACTTTTTTTCGACCATCGATTAGTTATCCATGCAACATGGGATTACTCTACATTTTGTAAACATTCTGCCTTTGCATTTCTTGTTTTTTTCTTTTTTATAAACATTTGCATTTCTTTTACAAACTATTTTGTGGAAAATAGGGATGTCAAAAATATCCGTAACCGTGGATATCCGCTCGAATTTGATCTAATCGGGTAGGGTAAAACCTGAACTCGAAAGATTTTTCGTGGGTATGGGTAAAATCCGAACCCGAATATTGCAAGTAATGGGTGGGGATAGTTATCTAACTATCCAACTCGAACCCACCAGATTATACACATGCATATGTATTTTGTCTAGAAATTATTATTAGTTTCCTCTAACATATACAAGTATAATATTTTCATGAAATTGTGTTTTCTTAATTAATTTTCTTCATTCTATTGATTTATTATCATACTTTTTCTCTTATGTAACGTGAGTATATGTGTGAACGTTAACATGTTGGTTGAAGTTATATACAAAAATTATTACCCATGGATAACCGTAAATACCCAAAATCCAAACGAATATGGACATGATTTTGATTATGTACCATATTCTTACATGGATATGGCCATATGGGTAAGGATAAAACTTGAAGTAGGGTAACAGATATGCACTACCCGACCCCGTTAGGGATGACAATTTACCCATCCATGGGTAATTTTGCCCAACCCAAGGAGACCCATTCATTATGGATAGAGTATGGGCGAGGTGTGTATGGGTTTGAGTTAGGTATGAATATTACTTTCACAATCTAAATAGTATGGGTTGGATATTGGATATCCATTTACTTGAGGGTGTTTTAAATACACATACAAAAATTGGACCTATTTGCAAAACTTGAAACGTTCAGGTACCAAAACGTAAGACAAAAATGTCAGGTACTAAAATACAATTTTCCAACAATATTTTGAGGACTCATATGCAAAAAATTAAATTTAGACACTAAATATGCGTATCTATTAAGTTTAGGTATCAAACTGTAATTTGCATTTGGGCATGGGTATAAACTCAAATCCATTTGTTAAAAATCCAACCCAACCTAAGTAAATGGATATGGGTAGTAGGTACAAACCTATCAAACTCTACCATCAACCACCTATTTAGATTCCTTACCCAACCCAATTGAGTGGAATAATAAAATACCCATGAGTATGGGCAAAATTGTCATCCCCATACCCAATTCATTGGCATAATAGAGGGAGAAGGAAAAAAAAGATCGCGAGGCCTAATGAATGAGTAATGATGCTTATGGCTGGGAAAATAGGTCAGACCGTTTGAAAAATCATGGACCAAACCTGACCGCATAGTTTGGTCCGGATCATAGACCGGTAAGAATGGTACGGTCTGGTCGATGGTTTGTATTATATGATGTTTTGATCTCTTGGTCTGGTCTGGTCTAGACCGCGGTTTACTTCCCAATACTTGTTAGCACCCCACCCGACCACTCTCCCCATCTGCCAACGAGACTCAAGTCTCGACCCTACTTTTGAAAAATTCATCTTTTTTTTTTCATTCACAACCACATTTCAGCAAAGAGTATCAACGATCGTGTCTCCATTTGACATTATGTTAATGTTTATTAGATCAAGTTGGGATGCTTGGACTTTGTATTTTTGGTGTTTACTGAGCTTTGGGGTGTCAAAATTCTTCATGCATATTGTAGTTTATGTTTTAGGCAAAAAAAATAATTTTTTTCCGGTCATTGATTCAATTTTTTGTGTGGTTGACTTAAACACATTGTGGTCTATCTGGACCAAGACCGTACTCGACCAGACTACACAGCCATAATCTGGACCACACCGTATATTATGTGGTCTGATCTTTGATCTATACTTCAGCCTTTCGATCTGAACCATAGACCGTATATATAGTCTGGATCAGATCGCACCGTTTCGTTAGGGTATCAAAAGAGCATCCATTTAGAGCATCTCCATCGGGTAATACTTTGCAATTGCAAAGTGAGGTGGAGGAACAAATGAAATTGCACCTTTCAATTGCACTATTGGGAGATGCCATTGCAAATATGAAAGATTGCATTTAATGAAATGGCCATTGAAAGCCACGGTGGAAATTGGGTTGCATTTTTTTTTACTAATTTGTTTTTTTATGAATGACAAAAAAAATTAGACCCCATATGCAATTGCAAGTGAAGTGCACCAATGTAGGTACAATGAAAGTTAAATGAGTTGGCTTGCAAAAATGGTGTTGTGTAAAAAAAAATACAAATGCAATTGCAAATGCAATTGCACTAATGGAGATGCTCTTATAGATAGGCTAGAAGTTCGGTTCCGGGCCAATTCGGGCAGGGTAGTAAACCGACAGGGCCCGCTTCCCAATTCGATAGCTCGAACAAAACCAGCCGAACCGAAGGAAGCAAAGTCCAAGAAACACTTCGCCACAGGATTGTAAATGGGCCACCCTCTGCATGATCTCCACGTTGAAAGCCCACAAAAAAGCCCAGTAGCCGACATCGTTTCGGCCTTTCCCATTCCTACACCTTCCCTCCCTCCCACAGATTTCAATCATCGACCCATCGAAACTGCCAAAACCGACCGAAAGAAAACCCCTATCTTCCTCCCTTACTTCCTTCGCAAGTTTGCCTTCCTTTTGCTTTTCCTCCAAGCCAAAAAAGAAAAAGAGAAAAAGAAAAAACACACTGAAAACGACTGTGCTTGTCTGTTAAGCACCTACAAACGTATTCACATATCTCCCATAAAAAAAATACAAACGTATTCACATATCGCGCTGTAACAACTCCTCATTTTTCATAGGTACATTGATCGTTGTCACGTATACCCAATTTCGTAGTAATTATAATGTGAACTCAATAAGTCTGGCTTCAAATATAGTAAAAAGTATTGAAGATCTTTTTCTTAACTAAGGTTAATTCAGATTTTTCCATGTCACTGTAACTCAATTTTGATAGATAATCACATATCTTGCTAGAAAAGTAACAGAATAAAAATATTTAATACGTAATTAAATATCCATCCCAAAAAAAAAAACATTCCTTCCTCTTCCTCCAGATTCCAGACGCGCCACTTCTGTTATTCCCTTTCTTGCGCTCCAAACGTAAGGCTCTCAAGCCGCCACGTCTCACTCCCCTCTCCGGCTCTCCCTCCACTATAAAACCCCGATCTCCCTCCTTCCCCTGTTCTTCACTTCTCCCCACAAAATCCGCCATTAAATCCGATCAAAAAAACACAATGTCGACAGAGAAGCCAATGGAAGTGGTGAGGAACCTCGACGTCCCGCGGTACATGGGCCGGTGGTACGAGATCGCATCTTTCCCCGCCCTGTTCCAGCCGAAGAAGGGGGAGAACACGAGGGCGACCTACACGCTGAAGGAGGACGGCGCCACCGTCGGCGTCTTGAACGAGACGTGGAGCGACGGGAAGCGGAGCTTCATCGAAGGGATCGCGTACAAGGCCGACCCGGAGAGCGACGAGGCAAAATTGAAGGTGAAATTCAAGGTCCCGCCAATCCTGCCGGTGTTTCCGGTCACCGGGGACTACTGGGTTCTCTACATCGATCCAGAGTACCAGCACGCCCTGATCGGCCAGCCCAGCCGCAAGTATCTCTGGGTAAGTTTCATATTGTTTCGGTAAAATTTAGCGATTTTCGCTTGATTGAAAGCCTAATTCGGTGAGAGCTTTGTGGGGTTTTGCAGATACTGTGCAGGAGCCCTCGTATGGACCAGGAGGTGTTCGATGGTCTGGTGGAGAAGGCGAAGGCGCAAGGGTACGATGTCAGTAAGCTTCATAAGACTCCTCAGTCTGATACTCCTCCGGAGGCAGAACAGGGAGCTCAGGATAAGAAGGGTGTTTGGTGGATCAAATCCCTCTTAGGCAAATAGATTACCTTGCGATATAGGATTTTCTGGAATCCCTGCTTTTGTCTGAAATAGTGAATTTTCGATTTCCTCATTAGTATGTGTGTAAAGGAAAAAAGCCATGTACGCTCTGCTTCTTCTGATCGAGTGTTTGTGTTCCCCTTTCTTGCAATTTCAACGACATCTATAGTATAGAAGGTCATGTCACATGTGCCAGTGCTTGGTTGTGGGATTGGGGAATAATTCGTTCTTGCAAGGATAAGCTCCGGTCTGGTGCAAAATCGAATTGCACCCCGGTAGACCTGATAGAAGTAAGGAAATGTGAGAATCCAATATGATCAAACATAGATACGGCCAAGCTGATCCCTCTTCACTAGATGCAGAGCAGGTTCCGGAAGACAATAAGGGACTTTGGGTGGAATGGGATGAAATCACTCGCAGGGGAAATAGCTGCGCAAGAACTTTGCTAATATGGTGTCTCTATGCCATAGCATTGTTTAAGTTTGTGCCTTTGCCTGAAATGGCAAAACTACTCGTGTTGGTACTTGTGTGAAAAAAAGCCATGCATGTTCTGCTTCTTCTCCTGAAGGACTATGTCCATAAGTTTCATTTCCAACCTGTACGTGTGCACCGGGCCGTGCCGTTCACGGCCTAACACGACATGAGTACGGGTACGAAATAAATGGGTCAACCCGGCACGAGCACGAATAATTTATGGGCCGTTTCGAGCCTAAACTTCATGGGCACAAACACGGGCATGGTATATAAGTGGGTGGTGTCGGGCCTAATATTTTCGAGACTTTATTAAGTATAAGAACGGACATGGTACGAAAATAATATTTATTTGATAGAAAATAAATATAAAAATAATTATAGGTTCAAATATTACAAAACACGAGTAAAAAAATAATTATTTGTTGTTGTTAGAAGTGTCATAAAGATATATACGTAATTACTAACACAAGTAAAAAAGGGCAACGAATTAAACAACACCAGATCACACTCGCTAAACTTTCAATTTTCTTTTCCCGCTTATTTGTTACTTTTCTCAAACATTATCGGTTAATACTATCTTCCCCCTCCAATTTTCACCTTCTTCTTCATTCTCTCTCTTGTTTTCGTCCTTTTCATTAAACACGAATACGAACATGGCACGAGCACGAATAGGCTCGGCGCGATTCGAACCGAGCTCGGGCCGGGCCTAGCAAAGTTAACAAATGAGCTTGCATGGCACGACACGAAAACTGACGGGCCGTGCCAAGCACGACACGAAACATATGGGTCCAAAACGTGCCCGTACCGTGCCGGCCCAAGTACGGCCCAACGCCCATGTACATTCCAGCCATGGCTATTGTACTTCGTAAATGGTCTCTTCACTTGTACCGGGTCGGTTCCTAACTTCATATCAGAGTGCACCGGACCAGTTGATTTTGGACCGCATTACACCAAATCGAATATAAAATGATTTGTTTTTTGGTCTCTGTCAACTTTATGAATGTAAAATACTAAAATAAAACGATCAAAATTCGAATATAAAATGATATGTTTTTTTGGTCTCTGACAACTTTATGAATGTAAAATACTAAAATAAAACGATCAAAATTGACATTCAGACTGGACCAAAATGGACCAAATGTACAAATGGTCCAGTCATTGGTACTAAGATGCTTTTTTAGCTATTGATCGTGTTCCTCGTAAGTTTGGTCTGGCCCGGATTGGACCGTTGCACACCTCTAATAGAAGCTGGTCTATAGCTACGTGCTAACAAGTAACTAATCTCTTAGTCTCTTATTCAGGATTTTATAACCGTATCAGAGGCTATACAGCAAAAGTAGGGGTGTTCAAATGGTCACTGTGGTAATAATCAAACCAATTTAACTTAAATTTCATTAACCATGGAATAAAATGTCTTAACCAAACCGTCCACATTAACATGAAAACCAAATTAACCAAACCAAAGTTTAATTGGTTTGGATAATCGGATTAACCAAATAACATAACATTACATCATGAAAACAATTATCCTGTCAATGAATAAAACATAACCATATATATGTTATTACTATCATAAACTATCATTATATATAAGCAATGAAATAAGACTAACCATCCATGATTGAAAATTGATATCATTTTGTAGAGCACAACATACTCGTTCCATCTATGCAAAAAATATTGAAATCTGAGTTAGAACGAAGAAGATAAGAATCGATTAAGAAAACTAGGGAAAATAAAATGTCTTTAATTGACAACCCTTAGATCTGAATTTTCTGGACCCACTTAAATCTAAAGCTCCAAATTTAGTTACTCATAGGTTAGTAACCATTGGTTACTGACCCTATCTTACCCATAATACTTTGGTTTGTTGTGCACGTGGAAATAAAATAGGGAATCACGAAAATTTGGTTTGGTTGGTTGCATGAAAGTATAAATATTTTTTTATATTAGGTGTACCATTAATTGGTTAATTGGTTAGCAGTGTTGAAACCAAATCAAACCACATAAACCTAATGAGCTAAATTATTTAACCAAACCAAATCAATTATCCAAATTAACCAAACCAAATCAACCGAATACTACCGATTAATAGGGTACCACAGTAACCAATCCGTTTGAACACCATGTACAAAAATAATAGATATGAAATTTTAACTTGGATCCAAGGTTGTCAACCCGCAGGTTGACCCACTTTGACCCTGACCCGGTGAGAAAAACGGGCCGCACGCACCCTCCGGGTCGACCGCTATAAGGTACCGAGTTGGAGGTCAAATTGTGTCATTTTTTTTCTTTGTTTTGCGAAATGCGCCTATTTTCCGATTTTTCTTTTCGCCTAACTCAATTTTGGAATCCTAAGTTGCACATTTGAATATTAATGTTATATAAGTGTGTGTCAATTTTCACTATATGTTGAATCTAAGTACGACATGTTATTTTGGTGTAATATTATATGTTATAACTCATATGTTAGATGAGATTTGATATAATTTATCAGGATAAGTACAATATAATGACACTTTCCATATTTCCGGGCTAAACCGGGCTAAAATGGGTGACCCATTAACCCGTGACCCACTAACTCAACCGGGTCCGGGTCAACCCGCGGGTTGACAACCTTGCTTGGATCTGATGTTTAATTTTGATTCGGACATTTCAAATTGCTAAACAGCATTTAAAAATTTATAGTCCAATCAACAGTTTAATTTATAGCTGAAAAGTAAAACTGCACCCCCCATTCAAAATTTCCTGCCCATAGAGTGATTTTAGGAAGCTGATGTGGCAGAGTGTTAAGCGGGAAAAAAAAAAAGGAGTCCCGCCTGATTTCAGAACCAAAAAACTGTCCACTACCCACCTTTTTCTCCTTCCAGGCCCACGTTCTCTTTTAATTTGTATTTATTTGCAAAATAACAAAATCCAGAGGCAAAGCTCCTTCCTCTTCCCCTTCGCATCAGTACCTTTGTTTTTTTCGTCGGCAAAGGAAACTCGGGTATCAGGCGACGAAAGGGGAAGATCTAGGTTTCTGAGTTGCGACGGCCAGAGGTGGGGATTCCAATTTTGGTTCGTCGGTGAGCAAATTCAAAATCTCTTTTGTGTGACCTCGCCTATTGGGGCCTTCTCTACTCGGATTCTCCAGTTCCCGTTCTGGATTGCTCCCTGTTGATGGATATAGTCGACGACGCTATTCTCCAAGACTGAGTGAATGGCAACCGAGCAACAACAAAAGGGGAACCAGCTAGAGGGCCACGCGCTCGATTTTGACGTCGAATAGTTCGCAATTCTGGTTGGAGAGGAACAAAGGACAAAGGAGGCTCGCTAACCAGTCACAACTTCATCTGTTGTCGGGATGTTCAGATCCGGTGCTATGAACTGTGGGCATGTCATTCGCTCACCTTCAGTCGATTTTATCTAACCTTTTTCTTTTGCGGGCTTTATTTGTTGTTGATTTCCATCGTGGTTCATTTTTCTATTCTTTTATGTTCAGTTTCTTATTGTTCCTTTTTTGTTGTGTTTCATTTTTTTTTGTTCTTTGTATTATATTCTCCATGTTTGAATTACAGGCATGTCGCACTAATGTTACCCTTTGGAAACCCCACATTCGATGTTCTCCTACTATTCTCTCCGCCCATGTTTTCGGGAGACCGGGTTGCCCCTCTTCGTCCCAGGATCCCACCACCCCTATTTTTGCTTTTGAGTTTTCTAATCAAGCTTTCGGCTTTAGCCATCGTCGGATTTGCTGGTGCCACTTGCACTGTCTCCCTCCGTCGTGGCGTGCAAGTTGGTACTTTGCTCTTTCCTTCAGCTTTCAATTTGGAAGGTGTCATGACTGGCGCAGACTGTGACATTAGCAGTGGTGGGATAAGCCTTACCATGCTTTACATATTCTCATGAGATGTGCTTTTTTAGTTTGTATTGGTGAGTGGCAGCAGGATAAGTTGCCTCACAAAATAAACATGTGTTTCCTTTTGGTGTTCTTTTTAAATGAGAATGCCCAAAGTTTCCTGCTTTGGTTTTGGGATACCATGGGTTGGCTCACTCTCTGTGAGATACCTTCATTTTTATTGTTCATGACAAAAACTTAGGATTTGCTAGAAATGATAAGGGTTTAGCATTAGTATTCATAAGACAATTAGTGAAAAATTAGAATCTACAATGTTTAGTTTAAAGTTTTGTGTTCTCATTTGAAATTCAGCCTGTTGTTCTCGGAGTTGATAGTCCTAAGTTATGTCTCAAACATAGATCTGATGCATTCATCTTATCATATCATTATGTAGAGTATTCTGTTCCACAGCTGATTTCTCCTCCGGGCCTTTTTTGTTTGTTATGTTCTTGGAAACTAATAAATTTCTAGGGAAATTAAAAGCTGGCCACCAACAAAGGATGAATGCCTTTTGTAGATTCTGTCATGGTGTTTTATTTTGCTGTGTCTATTCTTGATTTGAAGTTTCTCATAGCTTCCCTACATAAGTTTAGGTAAGGAAAAGTATTACTCAATTAGCTATATAGGTACTTTTATTATTATAATAGAATTAGACCGTGTTGGGGGTATGAGTTTTGGTAAAGTTGTTAAGTTATTATTATCTCTACATCTTTGTAGTTTTGCCAAACTTTGTGGCATTCAAAAGTTGAGTTATGTGGTTTAGTATTGTCACTGCATTGTATATGTGTTTCCTGAATCTCCATGGCTTAATGAGCTACATATATTTCGTGTTTTTTAATGGATAGGGTGGTTGTGTGGATGTATCAATAAGCTTTGCTTGATACTAAAAATATTAATGCCTAAAGCTCCCATAATATTAGTAGTGAACATGAAGTTGGTGACCTTGATGCTGCCAAATGCACCAAAATTGATCAAGCGAACCATGATATTATATTGCAACACCTTTAGTCGAGTCACTAAAGAGGAAGGTCCATGTGAATTCAGAAAGTGATGCACAGATGATCGAGTTTTTGAATGTTTATTTTCATGAATGTTCAATTAGGTTTATCGATGACTTTATACGCATTATAGCTGAGTGGATTGTGTGTTTCTCTATACCTACACGTTTTATTTTACTAAGTCACTTTGTATGAATACTTCACCAAATTTGTGACTCCATTTCTTTTTATGCATGGAGCATCATGCAAATCATCATGCCTTCTAACAATAACTATATATATACACTATCTCTTCCCCTCTTTTATCTATGGCTCTATCTTCTAATCAAGTTGCAACACTACTACATTACGCTACATATTTCCTAGCTCCTAGAATCAGTGGCGGATTCAGAAAATTTTCACAGGGGTGTCCTCTTCAAAAATTAAATTAAATTATATAATAAATTAAATAATTCGTATATTAAAAATATCATACTTGTATAATTTTTATAAATTTTTTATTAAATAATAAATTAAAATTCATATTTTGAAAAAATAATATAAATAAACTCCGTGTCTGCACTGTTCAAAAAATCTACATATCCTACTAGACAATACTTCACGAACTTATCACATATTCGATTTCTAACATTGTTCTTAATGTAGCTCAAAGTATAAAAGACTCTTTCAACACTTGCCATGTAACCATAAAATCAATTCAAAATTAAGGGTAGCTTGTACGTAGTTTAATTATTAGGTATTGAAAATAGTTGGGGATAAAGAAATAGCGTTTTACTGTTGCATGATGTTTAAAATAGAATAACAAATGAGTAGCAACATAATTGGAATATGTTTGATAATAGTAGTGTCCTAGGTTGGAATAACACGGACTACCACTTATATTTTATTAATCATAAGCAAACTATTATCGAGGGTAGGATAATCATTTTTTCAAATGTTAGGGTGTCCCGGATTACCAATTATATTTTGTATACACATACGAAATTACTACCGGAGGTTGGATAATCGTTTCCCCAAATTTTAGGGGTGTCCCGGGACACCCCTAGAGGCCCATGTATCCGCCCCTGCCTAGAATGCTTAACTTACATAGCAATGTTAGTTGTATATGATGATGTACTGTGGGATCCCTTATTATTTCAGGTATAGTTGGATGGACTTAAATTATTTTTACACTTGACTATTTTCAAATTTAGGATGGTAGAGTTTTGCACCAGTTTCTCAAATTTGCCATGAGTGAATGTCTAACCAGTGGTTCTGATTAAATTGTTGTAGGGGGATTTGTGTACTTTAGTAGGAACTCTACCTAATATTTTTGATAGGTAATGGGTTTAGTAACATGTTGGGTGATAAGGATAACAATGATTGTTAGAAAGGTTAGGGATTGATACATTAGTCGTCTACCACTGTTGGCCTAAATGTTTCGTAGAGGGCCCTTCCTCCGCTCCCTTCATCTCTATCGTCGTTCTCCGTCCTCTCCTTTCATTGGGAAGCCAGGATCAAACGGTTGTTTTTGCATGTCAGTGGTTGGACGACGTCCAAGTGGATGTCAGTGGGCAAATTCAGTGTCGAATAGGGATTGTGTCGGAGGTAGCTAGATCCACCCATATCCTCCTGCTCTCCATGTCTGAGATTCGACGTCAGCGGCTGTAATGTTCTAACGAAGAAATTGGGGTGTTAAAGTGCTTCCTGTAGAAATGCCACTATCAACTTCTCTCTGTCGAGGTAATTTCAGCTACCAACCCAAGCTCGATTCACGCCAGCAAACGAAATCACCTTCTGCGTTATGCGTATAAAAGGCAGTTTAAATCACACAGACCCACGAAAGCGTTTCAGCGAAAACTCCACTAGCAGCTTCTCTCTGTCAAGGTAATTCTCAGCCATCAACCAGCCAGCTTTTGATATTTGTTTCTATCGGTCTGCCATTTCGCTTCTTTATTTTAGCTATATGCTTCCCTCCTATTATGTTCGTGAAAGGTTTTTGATTTGTGTCTGATGGAGCACGATTGGAAATCTTAAGATGATCAATTTTATGCTTTTGTAGCAATAAGTTAATCCCTTGAAGAAATTCTAATTACTATTTTAATTTAATGCATAATTGTTTTAGTTTTGTTTGTATCTAATAGTAAACCAAGTTAATAATACCAATATAAAGAAATAATTTTAAGCAATTTATGATACAATAAATAGGGCAAATTCTTTTAATACGAAACATGTATAGGCCGTAGTGAGTTAGGATAATCTGATTAACAAAAATACATATGAACTAATTGTTATCAATGTCACAATTATCAAGTAGTGCAAAGATAACTTTCGAATATTATGAAGTAATGAAAAATAAGATGAAATCATCCGACCAACGGGTCGGGTAAAAACTAGTAAAAAAAAATTCTCCAATTGAATCACCGTTACGATAAGGTAATCCTATGGAACTCAACGGCACAACTTTTCGGCCCAGGCCATTTCGGCTCATTGCTCGCGAACACAGCAACAATTGGGCCGAGACCATCCCGGTCCAAAATCTGGCGGTAAATTCAAACATTCCTCCAGATTCCAGAAGCACCGATTACTTTCTCGCTATCCAGAACCTAAGGCTCTCAAGCCACCACGTCTCCCTCCCCTTCCTTCCACTATAAAACCCCATCCATCTCTTTCCCTTCTACCTCAAACTCTCCTCTGAAACAGAGCAAAAAAAAAAAACAACTATCCCCGCCCACTGAAACCTCCACCAGATCAATTCCCCCCCTCGAAAAAATGCCAACCGACAAGACAATGGAAGCGGTGAAAGGCCTGGACGTGCCACGCTACATGGGCCGGTGGTACGAGATCGCCTGCTTCCCGTCCCGATTCCAACCCAGAGACGGCGAGAACACCCGAGCGACCTACACACTGAAGGAAGACGGCGCCACCGTCGACGTGCTGAACGAGACGTGGAGCGGCGGGAAGCGGAGCTACATCGAAGGGACGGCGTACAAGGCCGATCCCAACAGCGACGAGGCGAAGTTGAAGGTGAAGTTCTGGGTCCCGCCTTTCCTGCCGATTATCCCTGTCACCGGAGACTACTGGGTTCTCTACATCGATCCGGAGTATCGGCACGCGCTGATCGGTCAGCCGAGCCGCAGTTATCTTTGGGTAATGTGTGCTTGATTTTGCCTAATTTTGCCAAGCTGGGGGAGTTTTAAAAGCTGTCTATTTTGTATTTACCCTGTTCTTGAGCTCTGGATCTGGAATCGCAATGGGGTGAAAGTTTGAAGCTTTCTTTTTTTTTTGTTGGGGTTTTGCAGATACTGAGCAGGACTCCTCATATGGAAGAGGAGGTGTACAAGGAGCTGGTGCAGAGGGCTGTAGATGAAGGGTATGATGTTAGCAAGCTCAAGAAGACTCCTCAAGCTGATCCGCCTCCGGAGGCAGAGCAGGGTCCTGAGGACAAGAAGGGTTTCTGGTGGATCAAATCCCTCTTTGGGAGATGATACCACAACTCCACAAGAACGTAAATTTGCCATTAATGGGGTCTTTCTAGTTTGTGCTTTTGCCTGGGATCGCTTGTCCATGATTGGTAAATGTGTGGCAAAAAGCCATGTTTGTATGTTTTGCCTCTTTCTGGTCCAGTGCTTTGAAACTCTCCTAGAGTTTCATTTTAAGGAGGACACTTTTTTTTATGTAATGGTTTTGGACTTTTTTGGTGCTATCTTAGCTCTTGGGTTGATATCTGGGAAAAAATCCCAAAGTACACTAGTTTTTTAAAAAAATTCCCAAAATACATTAGTTATAAAAAAAATTCCAAAACTACACATGTTTGAGCATCTCCGTTTTTGTCTAAAACGGTGAAGGTCATCACCGCGTTTGACAAACACGGTGAGTACTTCACCGTTTTAAACTAAAACGGTGAAGGCTTCACCGCTTTTGTCAAAAACGGTGAAGTACTCACCGTTTTAATTTAAAACGGTGAAGTACTCACCGTTTTTGACTAAAACGGTGAAGCCTTCACCGTTTTTCTAGGACGCGGTGAAGTAGCTGACGTGGCAGACACGGGGTATTCACCGCGTTAGACAAACACGGTGAATAACCCGTGTCTGCCACGTCAGCGATCCGCCTCAGTGTGTTTTCACCGTGGCCGTTAGATGCGGTGAGGCGCGGATCGTGGTTTTCTTCCCGCGATCCGACGCCTCACAGCAAGCCACGTGGACGGGGAGCCGGATTTGGGGAAGGACAGTGCTTCACCGCGTTCATCAAACGCGGTGAGTCCTTCACCGCGTTCATTAAACGCGGTGAATGCTCCCCCACATTTACTGCGCAGCAGCTCCTCCCCCCCCTTCCCCCAACTATAAATACCCCCTTCCCCTTTCACTTTCAACTCACCCCACAAACATTTCACTTCTTTCTCCCTCAATTTATCCGCTCTAGTCTCGTTCTAAGTATGCTCTGTGGTTGCGGCTAAGTCCGATCTTCCACATCAGAAAGAATTACTAGAGTTTGACCCTAAAGCCCCCGTCCCGCTAAGTTCCCGTCCCTTACAAAGCTAAACCCGTCGAACCTCTGTCCGGCTTCCGCCAATAATGGACGAAGAGGCTCTTCGTGTAGGTTTTTTGGTTTGTGATTTTTTTTAATCGAAACAATTTGATTTATTTTTATCAAAACAATCTCTGATTATATTACTTTTTTATAGATGGGTGCCGAGATATACGATCCTCGATTGTATATCCATTATGGCCCAAGGGATGCGAGTCTATTAACCGATCAGCAAATGCATCGCTCCCGTGCCATTTGGGATAACAATCCGGTAATTTGATGAACTGACTTGCTTTATTTTATTATTTTCTAATGTTTTATTTTGCTTTATTTAATCTAATTAATTGATGTTTTTCCTATTTTTTTTAGGAATCTCTTGTTCCCGTGGTTCATAAAGGGACCAATAACTTGCCCGCTTGGCATCCAAGGTTGGAGCCCTATATAGCGAGGACCGGTTTGGGAATGTTGCGCCATTTCTTGCGGATCGAGATCGACAACGAGCTGCTTACGGCAATGGCGGAACGATGGCGTCCCGAAACCCATACATTCCACCTTGCGGAGGGGGAAATGACGATCACCCTCAAAGACGTGGCGATCCTCACCGGGCTTCCTATATCTGGAGATGCCATCATTGGGAACACGACCAAACCCGAAGGAGGTTGGGGGCCGCTCATCCGTGATCGTTTGGGCTTCGACATGCCGACCACCACACCAAATCAAGGACGGGGGCATCCACCGTTGAATGCGGGGCAAGTGTCGGTCCCGTGGCTGGTATCTCACATCCAGCAAGAGGTGGAAATCAATGACGAGACACCGGAAGAACAAGTCGAGCGCTAAGCCCGCATCTACCTCATCGGTTTGGTGGGTGGATTTTTGTTCCCCGACAAGTCCAACCGGTGGATTCAAGGCATATGGTTGCCATTGCTCACCGGTGACTGGGATGCAATTGGAGAGAAGAGTTGGGGATCGGCCGTGCTAGCGGGCGTATACCGGGAGCTGTGTACTTGCTCGAGGGTTGGGGCAAAGCAAGCTGGTGCTGCGATGTTCATCGTTCAACTGTGGGTATGGGAGCATCTTCCAATGTTCGCACCTCTCGACCCACGTCCATACCGGAGAAACGATGATGAGCTCAACCTTCTGCAAAATCTCCCCTACGGTGTCAAGTAAGTTTATTCCGTACTTAGCCCAATTTAAATTTTATTACATGCTTGAGCTAGATTTAAATTGAATTTATTCCGTACTTAGCCCAATTTAACTTTTTATTACATGCTTGAGCTAGATTTAAATGAATTTATTCCGTACTTAGCCCAATTTAACTTTTTATTACATGCTTGAGCTAGATTTAAATTGAATTTATTCCGTACTTAGCCCAATTTAACTTTTTATTACATGCTTGAGCTAGATTTAAATTGAATTTATTCCGTACTTAGCCCAATTTAACTTTTGATTACATGCTTCAGCTAGATTTAAATTGAATTTAAATTGATTCCGTACTTTTACTTACAAGGTGGATAGGAGCAAATACGAATGACCATCAGCCTGAGAATTCGTTACTGTTTTATCGTTCTGAGTTAGATAAACCATGGTGGAATCAGGTAATCATGTTTTGCAAGCGGGAAAATTCGCCTGTTTCCATCAACGCCAGTGGCAATTAGAAGACATCCTCTGTACTTCCCAGTAAGGAAAGTTCCGTCAACCTGAATAAAAATTTAGGATATAATTAGTATGAAATATACTTAACAGCAAATAATACAACATTTAAAACCGGAACTAGTTGGTAAAATACCTGAATAACCGGTATGCAGAACCCAAAACCGTCAATGCATGGTTTAAAAGCCCAAAAAAGACGATGGAACATCAGCTTATCCTGTACTCGAACTTGATCCTCAGTGTATACATTGTTGTATACTGGGACGAAAACAGTCCCAGGATTGGACTCCTCCATTGCTCCCATAAGTCTAGGGAGTAAAGCATACGAATCCTCCCAATCACCATACACCTCAGCCATGGCTTTCTGCTTACCATGCCATGCTTTTTTGTACCTTATCGTGTAAGAATGTCGATCCTTCACCTCTGCCATGATAGCTTTCACCTTGATATCTGGTTGTGCTTCTATAAGGTGCTTAATAGTTCTCCCAACCTTCTTTGCTTTTAGTTGCCTGTGATCTTGGGAAAGTATAGAAGAGGAGCATGTGTGGATCGTCTCAGCTTTGCGAATCACCCAAGCACCCTTTCTCTTCATATTTGCAGCCCGCAGTTGCCACGTACAACCCTCTGCATCATGCTTGCATATGACATGTAATTGTTTACTGTCAGAATATTTTACCTTCCACTCGAAATTGCGCCTCAACGCCTCTTCTGTAAATGCATCCTGCACAGCGTCTTTCGATGTGAACGCCATACCCACCTCCAGATTGGCCGTTGGATTGTACACTGGCATAGGGACAAAGTCGGGGGGATCATTCTGACTATGTAAAAATTGAGTTGGAACCTGTGTGTAATATGGCGTGGGTGCCTCACGAAATGCCGCCTCATCCTCGTTATCATCAGTATCTTCCTCCTCCTCGCTCACTGATATCAAATCTTCCTCAGTATCCTCGTCGCTTGACTCGAATGGATAGCTCGAGCTAGAAGGATCAACATGACCACGATCACCAACATCGTCCTCTCGCTCATGTGAAGTACGCCCTGATCGAATGGTATTCTCGATTCCATACCACTCTGGCCCCCAAGCAGGCCATTAAACACCACCGGCCTCAACAAATGGGGCTGGTTTAGGAGGTTGCGAGTATTGGTCCCATCCTGCACTACTCGATCCACCGTAGTTGATTGAACCACCACCCTCCCCGTAACCTCCTGTATAACCACCGCCTTGGTAGTTGCTCGAACTACCACCCCATTCGTACCCTCCTGCAAAACCATCATCATAAGAATACTGGTGAGAATGAGATTCACCGAGCGCCTCGGTCTCAACATACACCTCTGCAAGCCGGACTTGGTTATCGCTTAGGAACTGTAACATCATCATAACCGCGTCATCATCGTTTATGACAACTTCTTGGAACACGACCCCGCCAGCACTCATGTCTGGATACCGGTAAGTAATTTTGCCAAGTCTCGTCTGTCCGCTCGTACAAACCCTTTCTGCACAAAGATCATAGAGTTCTTGAAAATTGAATCGGGATTCAATTTTCAGCATAATGGATTCGCCGTCCTCATAATCAATGCCTATGTCAGAGTTTGTCACCCTTCCATTCCACCGAATAGTAAGATGAAACTTCTTGAATTTACCCATATCTACAATTTACAATAAGTATCTATTAGCTTAAAGACAGTAAAATTAACCAAAATCATATTGTACAACTAATATTAAATCATACCATAAGTAACAAAAATAAATTCAACTAACTAACAACAACATAATACGAAAATTAAATCATACTATAACTAACGAACATAAGTTCAACTAACTAACAACAACATAATACGAAAATTAAATCATACCATAACTAACGAAAATAAATTCAACTAACAAACAACAACATAATACGAAAATTAAATCATACTATAACTAACGAATATAAGTTCAACTAACTAACAACAACATAATACGAAAATTAAATCATAATACGAAAATTAAATCATACTATAACTACTAAAAACATAATTAGACCATAATACGAAAAGTCTCAACATACCGAAAAATTTCTGTTCTGTGTATTATGCTCGATTTTGGCTGCTGAAATTTGAAGAAAGGGGAGTGGTTATGTTTTTACAACTGCTGGTGGTGTGGTATTTATAGGAAAATCTGCCTACTATTCACCGTTTTTGTCAAAAACGGTGAACACTATCACCGCGTTTGTCTCAAACGGTGAATAGGTGGTAGCTGCGACCTAATTTTGACCTACCAGGGGTGGGAAACGTGGGAAATGATCACCACGTTAGTTAACAACGGTGAAGGCTTCACCGTTTTGGTCAAAAACGGTGAAGCTTTCACCGTTGTTAATTAACGCGGTGAAAGCTTCACCGTTTTGGTGTGAAACGGTGAATACTTCACCGTTTTTGTTTAAAACGATGAAGTATTCACCGTGTTTGTCAAACGCGGTGATGATCTTCACCGTGTTTGTCAAACGCGGTGATGCTCAAACATGTGTACTTTGGGAATTTTTTTTATAACTCATGTATTTTGAGAATTTTTTTTAAGAACGTGTGTACTTTGGGATTTTTTCCTTGATATCTGTGGCTTTTGAGTGCCTTGAATCCTGGTTGACCGGTCAGTCATTATCAGAAATGGAGAGACCTAGGCTATTGTCGGGTCTGTGTAATGCATAATAAATGTTCCATTTCCATCTACGGTCCTGTCTCCTGTGTAGCCATGGTCTTGTGATGGAACCGTACAAGTACCGGAAAAGTGAGCGGAATGATTTTTTATGATAAATTCGTAGTTTAACCGTTAGACCATTAAATACTGCCTACTGGTTTAGCCTCCAATACTAGTATTTCGTGGTTGAACTGTCGGTACGGTACGGTTTCGTGGACCATGGGTCTTGTATAGGCGTGTTTCTGAAATGATTTACGGCTGTTAATGTTCGAACTTGATAAAAATCATAACGAGCAGAATTGAGCAAGCTCAATTAGATAGTTTGTTCAGCTCAACTTGTGAACTTTTTATCAGTGAGTTGACTCGACTATCACATTATAAGTAATCAATCTATATTTTATAAGTTAACTTTTTGATAATTTATAGATTTGTTAATATATAAAATGTTAAAGTGTAATTACAAATTATTTTAGAGTTGAGTTCGACTTGAACTTCTCATTTTAACGATGAGTTGAATAGGTTTTAATACTTGAAGCCAATTTCACCTTGACTCAACTTAGCTTGCTTGTTACATATGAGCTGAAATCACAAGTTCAACTTGTTCATTAACGAGCAAAATCAAACAAGATAAAATCTCGATTCCACTCATTAACATTCCATAATCAAATTTGGGGGGTTTAGAAATTAGAAGTCGGTTTGTTTGGAAAATAATCCAAATAATCATTTTGGTTAATTACACCGGTACAGTAACTAACTCTGGCGGTAAATATAACAAAATATCCTCATATCCAGAAGCGCGCCACCAAACCTAAGGCTCTCTAGCCGCCACGTGTCCCTCCCACCTTTTTAAACCCTCCTCCTTCCCCAATAAATCCCCTGTTTCCTCCTCTCCCTTATCTCCCCCATTACCATCTCAAACAAACCCAAAGGCCAAAACCTTCCCCCAAATCGATTCCCCCAGAAGAAGAAGGAAAAAAAAAAAATGTCGACCGACAAGCCGCTGGAAGTGGTGACGGGCCTGGACGTCCCGCGGTACATGGGCCGGTGGTACGAAATCGCCTCCATCCCCAACTTCTTCCAGCCCAAGAACGGCGAGAACACACGTGCGACCTACACGCTGCAGGAAGACGGCGCCACCGTCGGCGTGCTGAACGAGACGTGGAGCGGCGGGAAGCGGAGCTACATCGAAGGCACGGCGTACAAGGCCGATCCGAAAAGCGACGAGGCGAAGCTGAAGGTGAAGTTCTACGTCCCGCCTTTCCTGCCGATCATCCCCGTGACAGGGGACTACTGGGTTCTGTACCTCGACGATGAGTACCAGTACGTTTTGGTCGGCGAGCCTAGGAGAAAGGATCTTTGGGTAAGATAAAAACAGTACTTTCTGCACTAAGCTTCCCTCTTAATCATTAGTTTTAAGCAGGCGCTAGGTGCAAGGCGGGTGTTTACGATTGAAGTTCGAAATAATGATTTTAGTAGAAACAACAATTTTTAAATTATTTACTTTAGTTCAATTTCAAATGATTAATAACCTAACTAATATTTGAGAGAGAGCAAAATATGTCATGATTTCCTAGAATTACGGTGGTGAGGTGAGGTGAATAGCTGGGTAGAGTGTCGGATCGACCGGAGCTGGAGAAGAACGGAAGTTTTTTTTGGAAGATTAGCTACAAATATTTTTAATCCTTGTCGTCTGTTGACACGCTTAAAGGCGCCTCAACTCAATTAATCACACGTCACACTAATTAGTTTTAAGCAGGCGCTAGGTGTAAGGCGGGTGTTTACGATTTAAGTCGAAATAATGATTTTAGTAGAAACAACAATTTTTAAATTATTTACTTTAGTTCAATTTCAAATGATTAATAACCTAACTGATATTTGTGAGAGAGCAAAATATGTCATGATTTCCTAGAATTACGGTGGCGAGGTGAATAGCTGGGTAGAGTGTCGGATCGACTGGAGCTACCTGAGCTGGAGAAGAACGAAAGTTTTTTTTTTTTGGAAGATTAGCTACAAATATTCTTAATCCTTGTCGTCTGTTGGCACGTTTAAACGTGGCTCAATTCAATTAATCACACGTCACACTGATTAGTCTAGCTTATAGTAGTCTCATTGACGGTTATGAGGTCTAATTGTCTTGGTTGTCGCCTAAGCAAGGCGAGGCGTTTTGTTATTGCTTAGCACCTAAACATGTCTAGGCATACGCCGAATTACACCTTTTAAGTAAGTGGGTGAGCTTCTTTTCTTGCCTGGGTGTCGAACCTATGCCGCCGATTTCCCCTGAAAACTTGCGTGATTGCCTCTGTTGCAGATACTGTGCAGGACGACTCAAATGGAACCGGAGGTTTACGATATTCTGCTGGAGAAGGCGACGGAGCAAGGGTACGACGTCAGCAAGCTCCACAAGACTCCTCAAGCCGATCCTCCTCCTCCGGATGCAGGGGAAGGACCTGAGGACAAGAAGGGACTCTGGTGGTTCAAATCCCTCATAGGGAAATAGCTAGCTACTCAAAAATGAAACTTTGCCAACATGGGTTTCTAATCTTTATGCGCTAGGATTGCTAAAGTTTGTGGCTTTTTGCCTGAAATAGCGAAATTCCCCCATTAGTATGTGTGGGGAAAAATAGCCATGTATGCTCTGTTTCTTCTGGTTCGGTGTCTCACCTGAAGAGGAAGAAGAACTCTAGGGAAGTTCCATTTCTGTCAATATCTATGGTGCGGTGTAAATGGTCTTTGTCACTAGTGTGTGTGGTTCGTTGTGGCAAGTGGTTGGTTTAGTCGACTGAGTGTCCAAAATCCAAATGACATTTCTATGTTATGGTTTTGGCAATTTGGCTAGTGGCTATTGGGTTACCATCGGTATCTTTCGAGCACCTGTATTGAGTCTTTGTACTGTACAAATATGGGGACATGCTCTGCAACTCGCAGACCTACGATATAGATTTTGATTTCGCAGAACTCACGATCTGTCTGTGGCAGAGGAGAATTGTCACACGAAAGGATCTGAGATTTCATATCATGCGATTTCTAATTGACGGTTTCTTTGATCATGCATTTGAGCGCATAAATTGCATTTGAAGAAACAATCCAACCAACCAACCAAATGTGCGTATAAAAGAGAAAATTGACTGTGGCAGAGCTAAATTCCGCAAAGCTTTTTCTCGTTGTCAACACATACATAATAGGTTTAATGAGAGTGCTACTCCAACTTCGATTGGAATCCGGGAGATGTTAGAAGACGGTCCCATCTTACATGCTTACGGGCCACAGGGGCTTTGGCGGTGACATCGACCTACGTTACGTTGGCAGCTCCAGCTGTCAATACGAAGAGGTCGGAGTCGAGGCAGAGCAGAGGATTTGGCTCCAATGATTTGCTTCGGCTCCGACCTGTTCATATTGGTAGTTGGTGATGCCAGCGTGACAAAGGTTCAAGTCCTTGTTAAAACTTCGGGATGAGAACATTAGTGTTTGAAATGAGCTTCAGACTCAATAATTTTGGTAGGTTGGTGGATATGATAATTTTAGGTTGATGAAGGTGAACAACTGAACAAGCGGTGGTGATGGAGAGAAGAGAATATTGTTTTTATTTAATTTGATCAAAAATAAAAGGATAACTTTTTTGATTATTTCTTACCTCACTTTATTTTTGAATAAAATATGTCACGTCAACCGCTGTTGTTAGTCCAGTCAACATTTTCACTCACACAGTCTAAGAATTAGACAAAAGTGGCTATTTTTTGTATTGTGTCAAAGGTGCTATATTTGGCTATACCGTCAAAGTTTTGTTTACACAAAGTGTATTTTGCCTATGTTTTGGTGTAATCTAAGATTACTATTTATGGTTGTTTTTATTGTGGTTTTAGGAATAAAGTAGGATAAAGTTACATTTTGAAGGAAATCTCATATGCGCGCCCTCTCTTGTAACATAAAAAAGCAAACCACACATTTTGATATGGACATAAAAAATGGAAAACTATATGAATCTGACAATCAGAAAACCCACAATCTCAGATATTTTTGTTGATTTCGGTTGTAAGTTGTAACATAAAAAAAATGCATGCATTATTTATTTCATCGTTATAGGAAAAAAATACATGTTTTGTGATTTATTTAGTGTTTTGAGTTTTGACCCGGTGAAAACAATATATCTAATCAACTAGTATTAGAGTGGGCCCGCCCGTTGACCAAATGAATTACATCAATGTATAAACAATAATAATAATTATACGAATCATTTATTTGGTACCATGAAAGAAATCAAGTTATTCAATTACTAAAAGTATTTTAAAAAACTACATTAGAAGTTTTACATCTTGATCATTCATGGACAAAAGTCCATATCAAAAGTAAACAACACAACTCATGCTAGTAACCAATTCCTACAAAAACATACTTTAATTTACTCATTGTTATTAGAAATTACTACAAAAAAAAGATGGATTTCTTTTTTATCGCTCTGCCCACACAACTTCATCTTTCATTAATGAAACTTTATAATCATTATCAATAGTCTCTTTCTTCTTCTGCTATATTTCATTGAAAACCATTTCAATGGTAAAAATGTTTGAAAATGTGAGACAACTTTACATGGTGCTAGAATTTCGCCTAATATAAATCATGAATAGAATCAGTCATTCGCTCTTTCCTCCTATCACAATACTTCTATACCCACCATCAATAATATCTTTCTTTATCAAATAACGTCATTATCTCCATCACTGAATTCACTACCTTTGATATTATTATACTTTTCCTTCTTCTCATGCATTTCACTGAATGCAAAATTTAAGGGCAAAATTTTTTGAATTGTGAAAACTCAATTTTCAAGAACTTAAATTTACCCAGTACAACCAAAGGTAAGATAGCCTAACGGTAAAGCTGCCGCAACATTGAAGGTTTAGTAGACTGGTTTTAAGGTCCAATCCACGGAACAATTTATAATCGTCCTTCCATGACTCCAAACATATATCGATAAGCTTCATTATTCATTATTATTATTATTTTATTATTATTATTATTATTATTATGACCCGATATGATCAAAGCTGAACATCATTATTCATGGACTTGAAGGGAAAAAAAGACACAGAAGACCATATACTTGGCCAAGTATAGTACTATAGCTATAATCAAGCACACCAACGATCCTTGTTCATCACGCAACCCCCAACACGACACCGTATCATCTTCTCCCCCCGCGAAACTACGCCTCCCCGCCGTACGCCACCCACGGCGCGAACGTGTACCGCTCCATGCTCCCCACGTCATCCGTAGAGTACGCACACGCGACGCCGTTTATCTCGTCGCTGTACCCCTCGTTGAAAAATGTCCGCACGTGACGCTGGGTCCGCACGTGCAGCAGGCCCACCGCCCCCGGCTCGTCTTCGGGAAAAACGACGTCGAACAGCGTCGACTCCTCCCCATCTGCATCCTCCGCCGGCGCGTCGGCGGTGGCGTAGACGAACTGGACGCCGTCCATCTCCACCAGCCGCAGGAACTTGTCGTTGTAGCCGCAGCGGAGGTGGACCAGGTGGGCCGGATCCGTCACGGACGGGACCACCTCAAGCTTGACGAATGGGCTCACCGGGTCCATGGGCCGCTTGCAGCCCATTCCCTTGTAGTAGGCCCCGAACTCGTCGTTCCACAGGTAGTGCATGTACTTCCCGTTGGCGGTTGATCGGAGGGTCACGTACTTTGGAAGTCCTGCCACCGTCGATGACGCCATTGTTGATGATGAGTTTAAATTTACTGGGATGATGTCTTGCGGAGATTTGGAATTTTGGGTCTCCCTCTGATGATGTCTATATATATATATATATATATATATATGCGACGAACGGAGCCGATGCACGCGTTGTGCGTGACTGACCTAATGAAATCATTCTCTAACTGATAAACTCGTTAGAGGGTTTAGGGCGCGTGGGGAGAGTTGTATTTGTATGAGGGACGGAGCCAGAAATTCCGGTAAGGGGGGCGAGAAATTTTTTTAGAACTAAATTAATTTAATAATAAAAAACTATATTCTTTTAAAATTTAATTTTATATTAATTATATTCTTTAATATCTTTAAAATCATCAAAAATGCCATTTACATTAAATGGTCATTACCATAATTTTCTCAACATGAATTATACATATACAATATAACTCTAATTAGTAGAATGCAGTTAGACATGGTATGTAACTCCTACCAAAAAAACACATGGTATGTAACTCAAACATTATTATATTTGAATAAATTGAAGAAAAAACAAGAAAAAAAATTCAACTGTCAATAAAGAATGGAGGCATTGGTAAAATGGAACGTCAATTACCAGTCATACGATCTAAATCTCAAAATTTTAGGAAATTTTGGGTGGAACGAAAAAATAAAAGAAAAAGATGCACTCAAAATAAAAAATTTGGTACCAAATTGTAAGATATATAAATTTGGGATAACATATGCCAACATAGAATTTAAATTAACCTTTATCATAATAATTATCGTTATATGTACCTAATTTTAACTAGTAAAACAAAATTAAAAATAATATGTACTTCAAACTGCAAACAAAAAGAAACAGAAAGACCAATTCAAAAGCTTGAGGTATCAAATTGTAATACTGATCATTTTTTGGATAAAATAAGCTAAAATTGTCAAATATTAAAATTTGCAATGCTAAGGAAGTAAACAAACCATTATACTACAACTGCTTTGGTCATATAGAGTTATATTCTTAAGTTTTTAAATTTTAGGGGGGCCATGACCCCCCTTGTCACAACGTGCTCCGTCCCTGATTTGTATTGGTGTCTTGTTAAACCGAATCGCAAAGGTTAGCGCAGTATGGTGTTGTTTGGATAACGCGTTCGGAACCATAATTTTATTTACCTTTTTTTCACTAAAAATATTACGCACAATAATAGTATTGTCGACTATACAAATAAATGGCAGAATTCGCACAAGTTAACACCCGGTAGAAACTACGTGTATAATTGATTACATAGTCAATAAACTATCAGCAACACCACATTTTTTTTTATCGAAATAACAATAAACTATCTTGAGCTTACATTTTTTTAACGGCGCGTCTAAAAAATGCGGACTAGAATAACTATCCACAATCATAAATACTTGCTCCAAATTAAGATAATTTTTTTTGTTAGTATCGTCATTGAATCACGTTGGGGCTTGCCATTAGATTTACAGTTTTGGCACTAGGCTATATTACTGGTGGATAGACATTAGTCTTCCTTTGTCAAAATGACTTGGATAGAGCTACATGTTCAATTGTTCATACTCTTCATAGTGCTTCTTTCCTAGACTCAAAGCTACCACGTCAATGGAACATCCAAACTAGAAAGAACAATATAGACTCTCCGACAGGGAGTTCGTGACTGCCGGGCCTGGCGACGCGGGCCTGTGACCCAAGTGGAGGCATTAAGATGGGCTGCAGGAATATATGGGCCCGGGTTGGGCTCATCGACGTTCTTTGAGTTATGGAGTAGACGAGTCGCTGCGAGACAGTGCAAAGTCGTTTTCTTCTGACACGGTTAGAGGTGGCAATTGGATCGGATTCGTGGATTCGTGGATTGGATTGGTGGATCCATGAATTAAATGGATTGGATCCAATGGATTGGTGGATTCATGGATTGGATCAAATGGATTGGTGGATTGATCCATGAATCCAAATGACATCAAAGGCTTGGACCAAAATGTAAATTTTGAAAAGTTTAGGTACTAAAATGTCATAATGAAAAATTTAGGTACCAAAATGTAATTTTCCAATGATATTTTTCGTATAAAAATATAAATTTTAGGTACCAAAATTTAAAATATAAAAAATATAGGTACCAAATCGTAATTTGCCATTTGGATCCATGGGTTGATCCATGAATCCACCAATCCAATTGGATTTGGATCAAATGGATTGGATTTAAATGGATTGAATTAGGTGGATAATTTGGTGGATGGATTGGATTGGATTCATGGATTTGGATCCTAATTGCCACCTCTAGACACGGTCATCCTAGTCGCCGCGCCGAGCGCAAGGAGTCCTGGGGAGGTCAGCTACGATAATATAATGGTTGAGAGCCTTCTTGCAGGCTTATCATAGTAGCATTGGGAGAGGACTCCAAGACTCAGAGAGTGAATCTCTTGCTCTATAGAATAAATTGGCCCAAGATTCCGACACCCATCTTTTTATAATCGGTGATAATTAGGTTGTTCACGTTAAAAGTTCTCTCTATACTTTTGTACTAATAAGTTGTGACCCAAGTGGGGGCATTAAGATGGGCTGTAGGAATATATGGGCCCGGGTTGGGCTCATCGACATTCATTGAGTTCTGGAGTAGACGAGTCGCTGCGAGACAGTGCAAAGTCGTCTTCTTCTGACACGGTCATCCCAGTCGCCGTGCCGAGCGCAAGGAATCGTGGGAGGTCAGTAACGTTAATATAATGGTTGAGAGCACTCTTGCGGGCTTATCGGAGCAACATTGGGAGAGGACTCCAAGACTCAGAGAGTGAAAATGGCTCTTGCTCTATCGAATAAATTAGCCCAAGATTTCGGCATCCATCTTTTTATAATCGGTGATAATTAGGTTGTTCACGTTAAAAGTTCTCTCTATACTTTTGTATTAATAAGTTGTTTACCAGAGCAGCATCAGGAGAGGACTCCAAGACCAGAGAGTAAAGAGGGCTCTTGCTCTATCGAAAAAAATTGGCCCAAGATTCCGACACCCATCTTTTTATAATGGGTTAATACCCTCGTTTGGCACGAAGTATAGCGTTAGTGACATTTCTGGCCCAAGTTTTCAAATAAGACATCTCTGGCCCACTTTTCAAATTATCGGACGAATTTGGCCTGTGGGACGGGTTGACTGTCAGATTTGACGGTCAACAATGTTCTCCGTTGCTTACTCAGCATTGGACTCTGACGTGGCTTCTCCACGTCATTTATTTTTATTTCCCCTTTTATATCCATTTCTAATTAAGTAAGTTAAAAAAAAAAAAAACAAAACTAAAGGGAAAGATGGAGACCACACACTACCCATCTCTTTCCATTCTCCCTTCTTCCCCCGATACCCCACCCCCTCGTATCCCCTTCCCCGATCTTCTCCGCCGCCGCCAATCCGACCCAAATCGCCGCCGCCAATCCGACCCAAATCTTCTTCTTCTTCTTCGTCTTCTTCTTACAAGTCATCAAGTGCAAGAAGCAAATTAATTAATGGAAGTCGTTGGCAGAAGGGTTTGATGATGAAGGCAAAGTGATTGATATTCCTTTTGTCTTTGCCATTTGTCCTCTCTCAAATGAATGGCATTGGAGTGGAGGAGGAAGGCTCTTTGGTCTTTTGCAGCTTTGAAAAGATACTCCCACTAGCTGCTGCCATTTCTTCTCTTCTTTTTTCTTTGATGGTCTGGTTAGTTGCAGCAGTCTCATTGCACGCGCTCTCGAATCTGTTGCTTCCTCTCGATGGGTTGGCGACGAAGAGGAAGAAGACGAAGGAGGAAGGAGACGAAGAAGATTTGGGTCGGATTGGCGGCGGCGATTTGGGTCGGATTGGCGGCGGCGGAGAAGATCGGGGAAGGGGATACGAGGGGGTGGGGTATCGGGGGAAGAAGGGAGAATGGAAAGAGATGGGTAGTGTGTGGTCTCCACCTTTCCCTTTAGTTTTGTTGTTTTTTTTTTAACTTACTTAATTAGAAATGGATATAAAAGGGGAAATAAAAATAAATGACGTGGAGAAGCCACGTCAGAGTCCAATATTGAGTAAGCAACGGAGAACATTGTTGACCGTCAAATCTGACAGCCAACCCGTCCCACAGGCCAAATTCGTCCGATAATTTGAAAAGTGGGCCAGAGATGTCTTATTTGAAAACTTGGGCCAGAAATATCACTAACGCTATACTTCGTGCCAAACGAGGGTATTAACCCTTTTATAATCGATGATAATTAGATTGTTCACGTTAAAAGTTCTCTCTATACTTTTGTATTAATAAGTTGTTTATCACGACTCGTTTAATGATCGATGATAATCAAGTTCAACACTCGTTTTATAATCGGTTGTTAACCGTCATAGATCCCCTCTACACTTTTGTATTAATAAGTTGTTCCCGTCTCTCTATACTTGTGTATTAAATAAGTTGTTTATCACCGCTCGTTTTATAATCGATGATAATCAAGTTGTTCACCGTCATAGATCTCTCTATACTTTTGTATTAATAAGTTGCTCCCGTTTTATAATCGATGATAATCAAGTTGTTTCCCGTCATAGATCTGTCTATATATTTTTGTATTAATAAGTTGTTTATTATCAAGAATAATCAATTTCTAAATGTAGTATCAGTAATAAGTTGTTCATAATTGATAATCATAATGTCGCTAGGGTTAGGAATAGGTCATTAAAAAGTTGTTCATCATCGATAATCATAGAATATAATCATTACGGTTATAAAGAAATATTGTGTAGAGCAAAATTTATGCTCAAATTGCTTTGCTGTAGTATGGTTGTTAAGTATGACCGCTTATATATTTTGGCAAAGTCGTGTTCTTACTTCCATGTGTTTCTTTTGCCTGACCTTCATTTTCTTCTTCTTTCTCTTTTGTCAACCTCCACATGTTTATGTTGATCAATCAGAAATGACAGTAAAATGAACGAACACCGGATTTACGTGGTATCCCTGGAATGATCCAGGACTAATCCACGGAAGAGCTTGAACACTCTTCTAGCTACTGATATTATTATATGTTTTTGTGTCTCTCTCACAGCCACACTCGACCAACATATATATCAAGAAGAAAAAGCATCAGTCGAACCCTAGCAGCGCCTACAACCCACGACCTAGCGCCCCATGCATGGGTTTCATGGACTCTCGTTGGGCTAATTAACTACTGGGCCTCGAGAACTATTTACATAACCCAATTAACATAATCACCCAATTAACATAATCCGCTAACAGCCTCCCCCAAATTGATGCTGCCCACAAAGCATCAATTTGCTCGAGAGATACCAATAACGACTCGTGGGAAAGGATTTG